GTAGTGCACCCTCAACTGTCAACTGAAAAATGTTTGGCTGTGCCCCCCCAAACTGAAATTGCTTCCTACGGGCCTGTCTAGGTGATATTGCATACTACCACACTTGCTTCAGATGCTGGATTTAACCTATATTTTTGGATGAGTGACCAAGTTTTAAGATTTTGGAGCAGGTTCATTCTAGTTTAATTTTAAGCCCTTCATTGAGTTGAGCAAACTTGCATTGATGATAATTTAGCGATGCATGCTACCAGATTTACTTTGGTTGCTGGATCCCGACTTAGATTTTTTGGATGAGTGACTAGGTTAAAGTTTTTAGAGGAGGTCCATTTCCAAGTAAGTATAAGGCCTACCTGGACCTAACATGCCTGGATGATGCAATAAGAGATGCACACTAACAAACTTGCTTTGTATGCTAGATATGACCTGCATTTTCTGGATGAGTGACCAGTTTAAAGTTTTTAGAACAATTCCATTCCCAAGAACTGACAAGTCTTACCTGCATTGCTTAAATGTTTCTTCTAGGGATGAACACTACTAGATTATTACTGTGTGGCTTTGCCTTATTTAAGGTAATATTTGTTAAGGTGAGCTCTGTAATCTTTGATTACCTATGTTCCCCATATACTCCAATGTTAAAACTTTGACCCTGTAATGTGGCCCAACCCTATCACAAAGGGCCATTTGAACAATTTAATATCTAAATCATCTTGACTATGTTAGGAAGCTTTAACATACTGGTTTCATCCTTTTTGGCCCATGGAATATTAATATTTGAGATTTTAAATGACCTCACCTAAGTTTTACCTTTTCATGAATATCTCCCCTTGAAAGGAAGCAGGGCCCTTTATTTGAATAATTTTGAATCCTTTACCCAAGGATGCTTTAACTGTGTCAAGTTTTGATAGAAATTGACTCAGTGATTCTTAAAAATATTGTGTTAAGTTTATGGACAGACCAAAAAATGAAAAAAAAAAGTCATATTTCCCAATACATGTACATGTACTTCCCACTTTACAGAAAATGGGTAGTACACTATTTGCTTGAAGGGACAAGATGTGTTTGTGAAACACTGATTCCCCCATATGGCAGCTCATAGTGGTCATATTTCCCAATACATGTACATGTACTTCCCACTTTACAGAAAATGGGTAGTACACTATTTGCTTGAAGGGACAAGATGTGTTTGTGAAACACTGATTCCCCCATATGGCAGCTCATAGTGAAGGCTTAAATTTCTCATATGTAAGTCAAACATGCAGTGAAACGTCAAGGTCAAGAGATCAAAAAAGTTGGTACCCAAAGAAAGGTCTTGTCACAAGGAATACACCTGTGAAATATGAAAGCCCTAGCACCAACTGTTTAAAAGTAATGGCCAAGATTTAAGTTTTTTAAAGTAGGTCAAACTTCAAGGCCAATGTCAAAATAAATGGGAAGGGAAGGTTTTGTCACAAGAATTCGCATGTGGAATATGAAAGCCCTAACTCAAGCCATTCCTAAGTAATGGCCAAGGTTAATCTAAAGTAGGTCAAACTCCAATGTCATTGTCAAACTGTCAAAATAAATGGTACACAAGGGAAGGTCTTGTCACAAGGAATACATGTGAAGTTTGAAAGGCCTAGCATCAATTGTTCAAAAGTTATGGCCAAGGTTAAAGTTTGGTAAAATTTTGAAAAAAAATGGGTCAAACTACAAGGTCAAGGTTAAGAGGTCAAATATGTTGGTACCCAACGAAAGGACTTGTCACAAGGAATACACATGTGAAATATGGAAAGCCATAGCTCCAACCAATCAAAAGTTATGGGCAAGGTTAAATTTTTAGTGGACAGACATAGCAAAAACTATATGCCCCCTGACTCTTCAGCTACCATGCAGGGTATAAAAATACTGGGTAATTTTCAATAACATTTCTTAACAACTCTGTCAGGAGAAGTATAAAAATGTTAACAAACAACATACATATGAAAGCAGGACAAATTTGGATCAGAAAATTCACTCGAGCCTTTGAGTCAGGCGAGTTAAATAATTATAGCTGTAGATCTGAAAATTGTGATGGCCCGATCTGCAGCAAGTTTAATAACAACATAAGAACAGTCAACTAAACTCTTTAATATGTAAAACATAATATTATCAACTAAAATCTATGATATACATGAACATAAAAGATTAAATCAAAAAATAACAAAATTGGATTGATATGTTACATGGGTGTAAAGAATTGTTCATCAATGAGAGGTCCATAAATTGCTCTAAAGTGCTCTGTTGGAGGACAAGTAATACTGGGGTTGGTGTATACATGTACATCAGCTAATGCTAATGAAGGTTGCAAATAAACAAAACTTGCTAATTTGTATGATTTTGATGACATTTGGTAACCAAATATTTGAGTATCAGCCCCATCTGAAATTTGAATGCTTGACCCATGTGACAATTTTTTCAGATTTACTAGAGCTTTGTACAGGAGGAATTACATGTGACACATACAATATGGTATCACATAACATTAATTATAGCAAGACATTTTCCTAAGACACAAAAGAAAGAAATTTCTAAAAAATGTAATGTATTTTCAGTATAGGATCCACCATAGACCTGCTTTAGGTCTATGGCTCCACTTAGCCCCACTCAGGAATCTGAGCCCTGGGACATCAAATTCACTGTCTGGTAAAGGGCTCACAGTTTATTGTCATGATACTAAAAGAGTTTTGACTGTTAAATTTCAAGAAATAATATTTTTCAAAAGTATACTGTAAATCACATTTTATTCATGAGAACTTTATTTTCATGTAATTATGAGAGACAGTGTGCTCAAGAAAATTTCATTCTCACATATAAAAGTAACCCTTTATATGATTACACAGAGCAATAACCACAATTCATGAAAATTTTGTCTTGCTAATAAAGAAACATTGACTATCTTGCGAAAATAAGGTATCCCGAAAAAATAGTGATCTACAGTAATAAATGTACAAAATTGGACTATTAATTGAGTCCCATCCTTGGACCTGCAGCTTAAGGGGTACCACTTTTACAGATTTGGTAACATGCTAGTTACTCATTGTTATTATGCACACAGTTTGTTTGTTAGCTGATCAAGAGTAAAGAATATTTTTTAAGGGTCAATATGAAGATTTTTGAAGATTGTATGAATTTTTATGATTTTGGCCAAAGAACTTCTCCAGCCCCAGGGGGTTTAGACAATGAATTTCATACTTTGTTTCTCTTTCATCCATAAATGCTTTGTACACAAACTGGTTGAAATTGGTTCAGCAATTTCAAAGAAGCTGAAAAAAGTCAAAAGTTTATGATTGACATACACTAGTGGACACTCCACAATTGACAGAAACAGATAGCAACAGGTCACTTGAGTCTGAAAAACTCGTACATGTATAACCAAATTGCAGGATAATTAAAAAGGTTTACAAATTGTATCTTAATGCTTTGCATGCTTTAAACAATATGAAAATACTTTAGATAAAATATGATGTGAAAAAAATGTTCTTAGTCTCAACACATCAGTATCTACATTAATAATGTTAAAAAGGACAAGAGACCCATGGGTCTTAATGGTAACCCGAGTATAAAACAACACTGTAAAGGCTTCATTGAAGTATAAAACAGAACAAAAACTGATAGATGATGAGATATAGCCCCAAAACAATAGAAATATGATGATATGGGAGAAACAAATTAATTAGTCTGGTACTCAGTTACAAATCATATAATTTTGGAAAAGGCAGCCTTGCTCATCTTAACCATGCAAAGAGTTTGTCTACTAAATACTCAGGAGCAGTTATGAGCTATAGAACCCCATCCTAACACAAGAACAGAACTCTTATGATTTTAACCCCAACCTTCAGGCCCCTGAAAGGAAGGGACCATAAAACTCCCAATTTTTGTCCCTGTTTACCCATAGATGTCATAGCCAAAATTGGTTGAAATTGGTTCAGCAGTTCCAGAGAAGAACCCAGAGGTCCATGAAGTTCTCAAGTTTGGAAAAGGCACCCTTGCTTATCATAATCATGCACTTAATTTATCTGCTTAATATCCAGGAGCAAAGAAGATTTTTTTTCAAAGAAAAAATGCATTTTAACTATATGATTAATAGAGCCCTGCCCTTACACCAGAGGGGCCATGAATTTCATAGTTTTGAAAGTTCCATCCTTGCTTATCATAACCGTGCACTTAGTTTGTTTGCTAACTATCCACAAGCAGAATAGAAGCTTTTTAAAGAATTTATTCATGTTAATTAATCAAGAGAGTCCTGCCCTAACACCAGAACCCCTGACTCAGGAGCCATCAATATCAATTTTTTTGGAAAAAGCATCTATGCTCATCATAGACATGTAATTAGTTTAATTGCTTAACACCCAGGAGCAGAGACAAAGATTTTCAAACAAATAATGCATTCTACTATATGATCGATCAATAGAACATTGTCCTAACACCTGAACCTATGACCCAGGGGCTATGGATTTCATAATTTTGTTAGAAATCACAATGCTTATTACAATCATGCCAACAGTTTGACTGCTTGATCTCCTGGAATATAGAAGATATTTAAAGATCGCATTAATTAACTCTTATAGTTTTAACCCCAACCTTTAGGCCCCAAAAAGGCAGAGATTATGAAATTTACAATTTTTGTTGCATTTACCCATAGATGTCATAAGCCAAAATTGGTTGAAATTGGTTCAGCTGTTCCAGAGAAGAAGCTGAAAATGTTCAATTGTTAACGCACATTGCACAATGCAGGAAGGACAATGCACAATGAAAACAAATAGCAATAGATCACCTGAGTCACTCAGGTGACCTAAAAAGAGATGAATGAAATGATTTTCTTGCATAAATACACTTACACATAATAGTAAGCATGAATTAAGTTATTATAATAAAGCCTTGTTAAGATCAGTGTAAGCAAGAGTCATTACAAAACTTTTATTCATTAAATCTAATTCTAGAAAAATAAATCATTTAAATTTTGAAAACTAATTAAACAAAAATTAAGCTTCAGAAGAACCAGGGTCTAACCAAAACTTCCTTTCCATTGCTTGCCAAATATTATATGGAAACGTTTTTCCCTGAAAATGCACATATTTTTCTCCATTATGATAAAATAAATATGGTTCTGTGTATTTATGGAGTGTATCTGACATATGGCTTTCTCGTACTCTAGATCTTGAACCTTGCGAAGTAGAACTTGTATGATGTGTCCTTTGTCTGTGTGTGTTGTCATATTTTGGTGATGCTGTTGATGTTCTTGCTGTTCCAATACTCTGTTGATAAGTAGGAGTAGCTGATTGATGTCTGTTCCCGTACATGTATTCATAACTCCCTCTGTCTGTGTTGGCTATTGATATTGGTATTTCCCGGTGTGTCCTAGTTTGACCCGTTGTTACAACATTTCTGCCTTGGTTGTCAAACATCTGATCCACAAGTGGATCACTGGTGCCTGTTGTTTGTCGTGCCCTCTCATCAACCTGATAAGTCGATTTTTTAATGTTGTCTGCAGCACTGGGAGACCTTTGGCGGATTGATCTGTCCTTGTTTGGATAAGGCTGAGCAACCCCTTTCTGCAGGAGAGGACCATTTTCCTGCAGAAGAAGTGGAAGCCATACTACAAAATGGACGGTGTTTCCTGTTTTCGTGTATTCCTTATACATGTTGCCATTAAATGGTGAACCTTCAGCTGGGGGCTGACCCAGGGCTACTGGAGGGTTCTGCATGTGCATCAGCCAGCAAAGCTCTAGACATTTGCTTGTGTACTCAGGGACTTTTTTAAACACAGTTTTGAAACCACTACTATATTCAAATTCCTGAAAAATACATCAATATGTGAATTACAGCTGCATGTCAGTAAGGTATGAAAAACAAATTTCACAAAAAATTATGAAATGTGTGTACTGCATGTCAAAAGTATTTTCTGAACAACAATTCTAAATTCATACCCAAGGTTCAGATGTAAGAAATTGACAAGTAATTAAAATAAAAATGCATACATGTTTGGGTAAAACTTTCACATACATATAAGTCAAATTTGTACACAAACATCACAAAATATACATTTACACTGCACAAACATTAAATTACTAAGAAATGCTTGAATAACTGAATAAAGGAAGGGTTTATCAAATTATCAACATATTTGATACCACTGATAATTCAATTTTTTGATTGATTTATAATGATTCCAGTAGTCATGAACGATTCTCTAATCAAATATAAGTGATCAAACCCAATTAGGGCATGTTGCATAATACTGGCAAAGTTTTCATTCTCTTGCATTTTTCATTTGTGTTTATTTCTCACACTATATTTTGATGAATAAAAACTATGGCACTGACCCACTGCACAGACAGAAGGACAGACATTTTGGTTTCAGGGTTCAAATATAGCTTACAAGCAAGAATTTTTATATAACAACATGTACATGTACTTCAAGTTTATCGAACAGTACTAATTAATGACACAATCATTTAGACCTATGAATGGTGTTTTTTATATAGGCCTAGTATTATCTTTTACACCCATTTACCTTAAAAAGGGAATCTGATGGCATCTTTTGTGATTTTCTAATTTCCTCTAGCATTTTCTCCGTTTGTGGTTCAACAGTACACAGTGTGTTTGAAGCATCTCTTGATCGAATACGCTAAGTCATAAAAAAAAAATAATAATAATAATAATAAATCAATAAATACCAGTAAATAAAAATAAACTGAATAGATTTAATAAAAAAAAATTTCGATCTTTTTTTTATTTTTTTCATTTAGTAAATTTGTGGAAGAATAAGTTGGCTATATAGAAAGAAGAACAGCTGGTTTTACCAGATTTGTTAAGGACTTCTTGAGGTTTTCCATCTGATGAAAAGCTGCATCTTTACAAAAGGAGTAGGCTGCCTATATTATAAGAACCTCTTTTTAAATCATCTTAGATATATACTGCTTTTTTGTACATTGTTTGTGATATTGATAAAAACGATTTGACAATTTCCCTTCTTTCTGATAAAACATTATAAAGTAAGACTTCTGAGGGGTGCATGATCAAAAAATTCAAGAACTATCTGTGTATGTACAAAATGTACATAACCAGAATTCAGACCAAAATGAAATTTGGGATACATATTATAGAATAAACATATTCTATAAATAGCAGATGTTACGTAATATTTTGCTCCATGTTTATGACATCACCATGTGAAAATGACATCAATATCTAGATGACTTGTGACAAAAAATGGTCGACACAGTCGTTCTCTAGAAAGGAACGACTGTAAAGTTTTAGGTATTTCTTTGAAAATCCTTTGCAGTTATATATAATGAATTATTCAAAGTTAATGGCGACAGAATAGAGAGGGGTTCTTGCATATAATTTGACACAAACTACAACCAAGGTATTCTTAAGAAGCAAATCTGTGAATGAAATGCAAGTCTTTGATTTATGTGTTCCAACTTCAGACTTGAATAAAATTAAAAATTCACTATTATCTATATGGGAATTCTTGCATAACACTTTATTAATTGCAGGCCACAGTAAATGTATTAATGGAGTCATACCATCCAATTGTGCTCTTTAGCAAGTTTGGTTGAAATTAGGGTCTAAAGCAGATGTTGAAAATATGAAAAATTAGTAGACAGACAAGCAACATCTAGATATTTGGACAACAGAAATCCTAAGGTGACCAAATATTAGTACCCCAGTATTGAAATTAAAAAAAAAATCCATTCTGTAATATTTGCATGAATACATGTTGCATTAATTTGAAGTAAATAATTAACCTGTATACAATCCAGTAACTCTACTATAGCACTCTCTTCTGTGTAAATTTCTTGAGACAAATGCTCCAAAGCATCTGTCCATTCGTTGTCATAGAGTTCATTGTACTTCTCAGCAATCTTTGTTGGACGGTTGGAGTCACTTAGATCTGTGATGTTAGGGTTTTTGTCATTTAACTTATTACCCATTTCCTTGCTTAACCTGAAAATAAAAAAAATATCATAATACTTACATAATTTAGTCAAACACAGAAATTGTATATATATATAGGATATTCAATGTTTTGTAGATGAATATGGAATTTATTTCACGAGTGGGACAGCATTTTTTTTATATTTTCACGAGTGCGAAGCACGAGTGAAAATATCAAAAAATCCTGTCTCACGAGTGAAATAAATTCCATATTTATCTACAAAACATTGAATTTTCTGTTTATTACATTTTCTTTGGTTTTCCCTTTGCCTCTTTCTTTTCTTAACACATTGTCATAGGCTTGGCGTCATAGTTGAGCGGTTGAGATGACATAGCTTAGAAGTGAGATTGAAAACATTACATGGCATGGATTTTAGCAACATATTTGGGAAGAAATTTGCAGTTTTAGTTCTATCAAGATTAATATCTCTAGTTACTATCTCTACCTTATGACAGGCCAGAAATTATTTTTTACTGACTTTGATATCCTTTCACACTGTGAGAGAATATCATTTTGGTATCCTTTCACACTGTGAGAGAATATCACTTTAATTCAATAAATAAATCACAGTATTTCACTGTTGAAAATGTAATAAATTTAGTTATTCCTGATAACCTTGCTTGATTGTTAGTCGATAATGTTGTGGAGTTTTACATATTCACCTTGTCAGTGCCTCTGTCTTTTCTTTCTCCAGCTTGTCCTTTTCTTCATGTGCTTGATCTAATGCCTTCTTATGTCTTTCAACTCTATCAAGCAATTTTGATTCCATTTTCTGCTTCTCTTCTAACTGCTTCTGTAGTTTTTCAATGTCTTCTTTTAATTTTGTCTCTTTTTCCATTTCCTCCAAGCCTTTTTTTTCAAGAGCTTTCTTCCACTTATCATTCAACTCTCTATTCTTTTCTTCATATTCCTGTTTTATTTTCTCTATTTCTTTGCCCAATGCCTCTGAAGGATTGAATTCCTTCTCCATCTTTTCTAATACTGTAACCTTTGCATGTAGTTCATCCACTTCCTTTTGCAGCTGATCTCGTTCATTCCGAAACTGGTCTCTCTCTCGTCTGCATCTTGATTCACTTCTCTTATCAACCACTTCAGTCAAAGACTTTTTAGATCTAACATACTCTTCCTATAAAATCATCAGAAAATTGTGATCATATGATGTAATTAAAGAAGTTTATGAAGATTAAAGTATTCAAAATTCTTTCTGAAATATACTTATGGTTGTAAGTTAAAAGTATTTTACCTCTCTAGTTAGAGCTGTTGGATCTCTGGATTCCATCATTGCCTTGTAATCACGAAGGCATCTTTCTATGTCAACATCATGGATGTCCTGCATAAAATCCAGCAGCTTCCTAATTGGTGACCTTGGATCCTCTAGTAGATCATTCTCCACATGCTCCAGGTTTGAAGCAGAAGATGATGTGTGAAGATGTGTTTCAGGCAAATCCATTTGTAAACGTTGAGCAGTTCCAGGAATAGAGCCACTTTGTTGTACATTGGACTGTGAGGTTCCATACTTTATATCCTTATCTAAGTAACTTCTGTAATTTGTAATTGAGTAAGGAGATCTTGATCGTTCTGAGATATCATCACCATGAGGATTTAGATTTAACCCTGTAGTAAGGTTGTTTGACAGTCCACTGGCTGTCTTATGAGAAAGAGTGTTTTTTCCATCAAACCCAGGGCTAGATGTATATGATGGATGAAAGGAACGTGAAAAATTGCTTGGAAATGACATATTTTCTGAAAGATAACTTTAGCTGATTAATTAAAAGAGCTGGGTTTCAAAAAAGAAAAAGGAAATAATCATCAATTTATAATCTTTTGAATAGCATCAGTGTGAATGGGATTTGTATAATTGAGAATAAATACTATCTAAAATAAAATGGTTCCTATTAAAACTACATAATTATCTAATAAAAAAATGAATGGACTGAACAAATATCTTAAATCAGTTTGTTGGCATACATCGATGTGAATTTCACAAGAATTTTATTCAAACTTAACCAAATCCTTAGCATCTCTTCATTTATCTGTTTATTTCAAGAATGCAATGTGTTTGAACACGCAACATTAAACCGAAAGTAGAAAGTTTAAAAGTTTTGAGATTAAGTTTCAAACACACGCTTTAAATACATAATAATCATAAAATAATTGAATCAATGGTGTTTCCCAGCTGATCAGGAAGTCACCTATAAGTTTCCTAGATACAATTAGTTGTCAACAACCTGATTAGTACTGTGTACATGTTACAACAATTACATTGTATTAATACCAACTCTATTTGATGATATATGTTATGCATGCTTGCATTTTTTTTTAAACATTTTATCACCAAGAGTTAAACAATCATAAAAGGCTCACTTTTAAGAACAAAGATCCATTCAGATTATACACTGGTCATTTCGAAAGTGGTAAAGCGAAACTTGGATTTCCAATATTCTAAATTTAGAAACAACACAATTAATTCTGTCCTTTAAAATTCGGTATGAAATTGAAAGGATGGAAGCAATAGTCTATGCTTTTATAAATATTTTAATGAAAATTGAAATTATTTAATTTCAATTTATGAAGATGCCCTGGTAGTTTTTTTCTTCAAAGCTTCTCCAAGTTAAGCCCATTGTATGTACAAGTTAAGTCTTAACAGGTGGGCCTACCTACCCATGTAATATGTGAGAAATGACTGAGACTGAGAGATAGATAATGGCATTATACTTGCGTTATTCAATGCGTAGTTATATCTAGTGACAGATGAAGATAACTACTAGAGTAAGAGAAAAGTCAAAGGACTTTAATCATTAACGGTAATTCTTCAGTAAAATTTTAATCGATGTTAGAAAATGTACTTTCGTTTTCGCCATTGAATAGTTCATTAGTTGTAAACGATTACACAAATGTAGACCTACAAAAAAGCCTTCATTCTAGAAAAAAAACATAAATTAAACATAAATTAAGCTTCAAAACTTTTAAAACACAGCAATATGTCTGATATCATAGCATTTGGTTTCTTTCGTTCTTCAAACTCAGTTCATGTAATGATGTTAAAGAAGTAGACTGAAATGTTGACATATCATGCAGAGACAATAATAACAGAGATTTGTCACTCTGTCATTAACAGGTTTATTTAGTGTTTTATTGGTTAGAATAATCAAACTGTGTCTTGGGACAAGTCCTCACCACAGTTAGAATATGTCACATATTAATCTCAGCGAGATTCCTAGAGACTAAAAATTTTGGTCTGGCATCTCTCTGAATCTCAGACTAGTGTCACACAAAGTGATTCAGGAAATCTTGCCTGGACTTCAACCTCTTGTTTCAATCAATACGGGCTGAAATGAATTAGCTGCCTGCTTCAAATTCTTTGTACTATGGTTCATTTCTGTAGGAAATAATAGTAGAACAAAGTATTTGAAGCAGACTATTACTGGAAGTCTTCAGCATCAGAGGTTTAAACAAATAGGACTTTGCTATGAAAAATCAACAACTTTATATTTGGTTGAATTTAAACCTTTTTTTAAAGGTAAGAAACAAAAGTTTTATAGTGATAAGGACCTAAAAGGATGTCCAAAGCAAAAAGTTGAAGTGGGCAGCTAATTCATTTGAGCCAGTATAATTGATCAAAACAAGTGGTCGAAGTCTGGGCAAGATTTCCTGAATCACTTTTTATGACACTAGTCTGAGATTCAAAGAGATGCCAGACCAAAATTTTAAGTCTCTACGAATCTTGCTGAGATTAGTCCCATATATACATGATATAGTTGCAATATAGCAAACTGGAGCAGATCAGCTCTAAAATGATTTTGTTTAAAAATTAAAAGGAATAACACTGAAAATAAGTACCAAATTAATCGCAAAAAAGCCTTTTACTCTAAAAAATACTCAATAGATTTTGTAAATTCAGTATTGATGTTGAAAATTTCTGGGGGAAAATTTCCCCACCTACCTATTGACCCAATTTTTTTTTATCCCAGGTTGGGAGAGGGCAAACAAACATTATATTAAAGATGGTCTAATTGTGATCTATATGTACATGTACCTCTCTCTGCAATTGTAGGTAACCTAACATTAATGATATGTCAATTTATAATATTCCATTTGTTACAGGGATTCTGAGGAGGAAACAGAAATGGCAGACAAAAAAGATAAACTTTTGGTAGCCGCCATAGATTTTGGTACTACATTCTCTGGATATGCATTTTCATTTAAACATGACTATAAAACTGATCCCTTAAGAATTTCTACCAATCAGAACTGGGTAGCTGGTTCAAGGGGACTTGTGTCCTTAAAGGCGCCAACATGTGTGTTGCTGTCTCCAGAGAGGGAGTTCATGGCATTTGGATACGAAGCTGAGGATATGTACTCAGAACTGGCTCTAGATGATAATCATTTTGATCATTACTTCTTCAAAAGATTTAAAATGGTGCTTCATTCCACTAAGGTGAGTTTTCCATTGGAAAAGAAATATGCATTTAATGGTGTTTTGCTTTTCTCAGCGCAAATGTCACTTTAAGGTTGTCAAATATTTTTGGAATTCGGGGCTTAAGTCAAAATTGAAACATTCAAATAAACTAAAAAAAAATGTGCATTCTGTAGATTTCGATATTATACAGTCTTAAGAAAATAATTTCTCCTAACTAAAAAGACTGATGTCTTATGTGCACATGCACATATATGTAAAAAAAAAAAGAAAGAAAGAAAAGAAAAAAAATGATTTTCTTCATTCCTCAATCGATTAAAGGTAGATTGATGTACTTTCTTTTTGCAGAAATTGTCAAGAACCATATTGATAAAAGATGACAAAGGCAAAGAAGCCCCAGCATTAGATTTATTTGCCCATGTTATAAGATACCTGAAAGGTCACTTGCTAGCTGCATTGGAAACTAAAGGCACAACAGTAAACAATAAAGACATTCACTGGGTCTTAACTGTTCCAGCTATCTGGACAGATTCAGCCAAACAATTCATGAGGGAGGCTGCCAATAAGGTAGGTACATGTTCTCCATACAGTTGGACTTTTACTTAAAAGACCAAAAATATAGCAAAAATATGGTTAAATATTGATTGAATATTTAGAAATTGTGACTGAAATATTGATCTCAATTAAGTACATTGAAGATTTATTTTCTAAGGGGGAGGGGGCTTAAACCTACTGTTGAACAATTTTGCAATATTTTTTTTTCTTTGGCCCTTAATCATGTGTGTTTAAATTTGCCAAAATATAAATTGTTTTCATTTTGAATATATAAAGTCACCTTTTAGTGTATGAATTTTCAATGTTTCCCCCCCCCCCCCCAAAAAAAAATGCGTGAAATCTGTATTTTATCAATATCCATTAGGCTGGTATTGAGACAGATCAGCTGTCTATTTGTCTGGAGCCAGAGGCTGCCTCCTTGTACTGTCAACACCTGCCCACCACCAAGTTGATGGGGAACCCTGGTACTCAGTCTTTCCTATCCTCCAGTTCAGGAACAAAGTACATGATCATTGACTTAGGAGGTATGAAAAAAATCATTTGATTAATGCACATAGACTATTGTTTAGGATATTGAGTCTTTAAGACAATTTTTTGGTGATTTTTTTTCTTGTCTAGCAGAATTTCTTTACCTAGGTGCGTGATGTATTGTATACCTTTTTTATACTATTTTAATAACTACACATATCCTCTTAGAATGTAAAACAAACATTGATGGTACTAGATCTGTCATTTAAATCAAAAAACAATTCTGAATTCCTACCTAGGTGGCACAGCAGACATAACAATTCATCAAAAACAACCAGATGGGACTCTGAAAGAGTTGCACAGACCTACTGGGGGACCTTGGGGAGGGACAAAAGTGGATGAGGCATTCCATCAGATGCTGATTAGAATTGTCAGTGGGCCATGCTTTAAGAAATTCAAGGACGATTTTAAAGCAGATGATCTAGACATCCACAGGGAATTGGAGACCAAGAAGAGGACAATAAAACCAGAATCCGAGAGCAAAATTACGATCAAGCTACCAGTGTCCCTAGTGACAACATTTGAGGATGAGACAGGTGAAAAAATCAAAGAAGTGATACAGCAGATGCAGTATGCTGGTAAAATGACCTGGCAGACGGATAAACTGAGAATGGAGGCAGACTTGTTTAAAGATTTGTTTATGGAGCCTGCTAACATGCTTGTTGAACACCTTCAGGAATTGATGAAAAAAGAAAATCTTACAGATATATCAACACTTCTGATGGTCGGTGGATTTTCTGAATCACCCATGATGCTGGACGCAGTCATGAAGGCTTTTCCAAGTAAGAAGGTGATAGTTCCAGAGGACGCAGGTTTGGCTGTGCTGAAGGGAGCCGTTCTGTTTGGCCACAAACCTCAAGCTATCACGATCCGTAAAGCTAGGTACACATATGGAATTAATATTTCCCCACCATTTGTGAAGGGTGACCATTCCCCAACAAGGAAAGTGACCATAGATGGTGTAGATCGTGTGAAAGACGTTTTCAAGAAATACATCCAGTGTGATCAAGATATCCGTGTAGGAGAAGCCGTCAGTGGGCGCCATGTTACTATAAAAAGCAACCAATCCGAAATGCTGCTGAAGATATTCGCATCAGAAGATCCAAATCCCAAATATGTGACTGATAAATCTTGTGAATATCTAGGAAAAGTGGTAGTAAAATTGCCAGAAGCCAAAGAAAGACTTAAGGTTGATGTGAAGATGATTTTTGGAGAGACTGAGTTGATGGTGGAAGCAAAGGAGTCCACCACTGGAAAGGTCTACTCCTCTTACTTTGACTTTTTGTAACAAAACTAATATGAATTATATGTGTACCTATTAAATTAGGATGTCTTGATTGAATGATTCAAAACTGCAAAAGAATGTTTTAATCCATAAGAATTCTGTGACATGCAAATAAATAAAACAATATTCAGCATGCTCTCTTTTTAGCTCACCTGAGCTGAAAGCTCAAGTGAGCTTTTCTGATCACATTTTGTCCGGCGTCCGTCTGTCTGTCCGTCTGTCTGTCCGTCTGTCTGTCCGTCTGTCTGTCTGTCTGTAAACTTTTCACATTTTCGACTTCTTCTCAAGAACCACTGGGCCAATTTCAACCAAACTTGCCACAAAGTATCCTTGGGTAAAGGGGATTCAAGTTTGTTCAAATGAAGGGCCATGCCCTCTTTCAAGGGGAGATAATTAGGAATTACTGAAAAAATAATGGCATCATTTAAAAATCTTCTTCTCAAGAACCATAGGGCCAGGAAAGATGAAACTCATGTGGAAGCATTCTTAGGTAGTGTACATTCAAGTTTGTTCAAATCATGACCCCCGGGGGTAGGGCGGGGCCGCAATGGAGGATCAAAGTTTTACATAGAAATATATAGGAAAAATCTTTAAAAATCTTCTTCTCAAGAACAGCAAAGCCATGATGAGTCATATTGATATGGAAGCATCCTCAGGTAGTGTAGATTTAAGTTTGTTCAAATCATGACCCCCGGGGGTAGGGCGGGGCCACAATGGAGGATCAAAGTTTTACATAGAAATATATAGGAAAAATCTTTAAAAATCTTCTTCTTAAGAACAGCAAAGCCATGATGAGTCATATTTATATGGAAGCATCCTCAGGTAGAGTAGATTCAAATTTGTTCAAACCATGGCCCCCGGGGGTAGGGCAGGGCCGCAATGGAGGATCAAAGTTTTACCTAGAAATACATAGGAAAAATCTTTAAAAATCTTCTTCTCAAGAACAGCAAAGCCATGATGAGTCATATTTATATGGAAGCATCCTCAGGTAGTGTAGATTCAAGTTTGTTCAAACCATGACCCCCGGGGGTAGGGCGGGGCCGCAATGGAGGATCAAAGTTTTACATAGAAATATATAGGAAAAATCATTAAAAATCTTCTTCTCAAGAACAGCAAAGCCATGATGAGTCATATTTATATGGAAGCATCCTCAGGTAGTGTAGATTCAACTTTGTTCAAACCATGACCCCCGGGGGTAGGGCGGGGCCACAATGGAGGATCAAAGTTTTACATAGAAATATAAAGGAAAATATCTTCTTCTGAAGAACTGCAGACCATGATTAGTCATTTTGAAATGGAAGCATCCTCAGGTAGTGTAGATTCAATTTTGTTCAAATGATGACCCCCAGGGGTAGGGTGGGGCCCAATGGGGGAAGGAAAGTTTTACATAAGAACATATAGAAAAAAATATTTCTTCTCAAGGACAGAAAAGCTATGTTTAGTCATATTGATATGGAAGCATCCTCAGGTAGTGTAGATTCAAGTTTGTTCAAATGATGACCCCTGGGATAGGGAGGAGCCACAATGGGGGATCAAATTTTTACAAAGGAATATATGGGAATTTTTTTAAAAATCTTCTCAAGTACAACAAAGCCATTTGTTATATTGTTATATTGACATGGAAGCATCATCAGGTAGTTTAAAATTCAAGCCCCCCCCCCCCCCCCCCCGTCTTTTCAATACTGAACTGATTGTGCTTTTGCCTAGCCAATGTGATCAGGTGAGCGATGTGGCCCATGGGCCTCTTGTTTGATGTACCCTTTGTGATGATGAGAAATATGAATACTCATTATAATCATACAAACAGTTTGCATGCTTGATTTGTCCATTAGTAAAGAGGAAGAACTTTATAAGATTTAATATTTTTACTAAAATTCGAACCTAGCCCCCTCCTGAACTTTTAATTGAGCGACCATAAATTTCACAATTCGCAAAGTAAGTAAGATTTTTGAAAATTGCATTAATTTTTATGGTTTTGGCAACACTCCTCAGGCTCCTGGGAGGCAAGAACCAAAAAAATTCCTCATTTTCCCCAATACTTTAATTACAGCCTGAATTTACTATATGACATACCATTATAAGAGGCCACATGGTCACTTATTTTCTGTCTAGATTTTACTATACTACTTTGAACCAAACTTCCCAAAGTTTAGATGAGAAGTAAAATTTGGGTAAAAAGACAGCAACAGGGTTCAGAAGACAGCAACAGGGCTTCTTAGTACAAGTATAATTATTGTACTGTCTAAATATAAAGGAAATTACCTGTTTTTCAATTCTTGTACAGAAAAACAAGGTTTCATTTCGTAAAATAAATAGGCAAATGTCTTCATGTAGTGTATATTCGTTTGTTCTGTTCAATGCAGGGCCCCTATATACATGTATAGAAAGAGGAAGAGAGATTTGTTCTCATGATTTCTTCTATATATACCCAAAAATATTTAGTTGTGGGTTTCTAAACGGACATTTATTTAAAATGGCATATCCATGGCCATAAGAACAGGAGGAGGGGACGGGCATGCCCCCCCCCCCCAAGTTTTGCCGATATATATGGTATACTACATGTATAGTATGTTATAGAAAAAGTAGCTACTTTTGTAAGTAGCTCTAATAACATTTGATAACCTTTTTTATTTGATTGTCAAGGAAATTTTGCTTGAAATATTTGGTTGTGCCCCCCCCCCCCAACTGAAATAGCTTCCTATGGGCCTGATATTTGCTTATCAAACACAACTAAACTTTCTTAATAGCAAAACATATCCTTAAATTATCAATTTGAAAGATTTTTTTCTACCTTCGATCGCAGTGTATAAAATAAAACGCTATATAGTTTTTTTTTTTTTTTTGGGCCAGGAAGTTCTTAATTAACTACATATAGACTAAAGTATATTTTAACTGAGAAGTTCAAGTGTTTTAAGAATTTATATACGAGCGTGTATATCTTCCTCATTTTCTGTACGATTCTGACTAAAAAATAATCGTAAAGATGTGGAGATTCACTGTTAAAAACGAGTTCCTAACTTGCAACCGATCTTAACTTATGTAGTAAAAATAGTTTTGATCGTCACCTATATGTAGATTATAATCAATGATAGATCTTGTAATTAATTAACTACTAATATTAGATTATATTCCCTCTGCTTCATTTATAACTAAAATAATAAATGTCTTGAAATCGATTTATTCTAGTTAAAAAAAAAAAAAAAAAAGATCCTCAGTTTCAATTATTCGGAGTTGATGGACTGGTATTTGACTTTTATATTGATAAAGGAATAAACTATAGGTTAAGTTTGTGACCATGGCAACTATCACAAAATTCATTCATATTCAGTTCAATCGTTAAATATTTGTTTTTGTTTTGCTTTTTATGTATTTGCATATTATATGTATGTGTGCTTATTTACTTACTGCCTTTAACAGATACTTACACAATAAGATAAGATAAGATTTATTGATACCAATTTGGGGCCCCTGAGGGCATACAAGTAAAGAATAATACACAAAAGAAGAAATTCGAAATTGATAGCTAGCAGCAACATGTCGATATTAAAAGAAGAAACTAAAGAAGAGTGAGGATTATAGCAGATGGGACACAATATTTACTTTGCGTCGTCTAAAAAAATGAGAATTGATAACACATGGATGGTAAATGCAAATAATTTTATTGAAAAAAAATATATATATAATGACCCCCACCCCCCTTCTCCCTCTCTCTGCTTGTGGGTGCATATAGATCCGCCCCTGTAATCATTTGTGTACAAGTATTTATCACTTCCGCTTTCGATTTCCATACTAAACAACATGATGTCTAGAAAGGGCATGGAGGGTTATAAAAGCTTGATAAAGCCTCTGCTCGACGATGAAACCCTACTTAAGAAACATCGCCAGAAGATCAGTCGGGAAATGATCCAGAGTGCACGGGACTTGTATGAACTGTTGGCGGGGAAAACTCATCAGAAGTTGTCGAAGTCACTTCCAGCACAGGAGCTTCCAGCAGAGGACCTTAATATTAATATGAATGTAAGTATGACAGTCAGCAACAAGTACGTGTATATATATATAGTACTTATAAAAAGACAAAGGTTTCTGTATTTTTGGTTTTTGTTGATGTGTGTGTTTTTTATGAGCACTAAATTAAGGCACATGCATATTCAGTTTACACAACTAAATCAGAATTATTTACATTGTAGTATATATATATATAAAAAAATCTAGCTAAAAAATGCAATCTGTTGTTTATTCCGAGGGTACTAAACAAAAACATTCTCCAATCTTCATTATACTTTAAAATATTTTGCAATGATTAAGTTAATATATATATATATATTGTTTGGTTCTATAGATAGTTGTCCATGTTTCTCATCTATCTTGCATTTAGTGCTCAATTTTAAATCATTAACCCATTTTTGAGATAATCCAATACGTGTTTAATCAGTTTTAGAAACACATTATCGGACTGATATTATAGTAAGGCCTAAAGTTGTTAACTAGTAATTTTGCAGTCAGGGGACGAAAAGACAGTGTTACGAATATCCGCTAACCTAATTCTAATTTGGTACAAATGACCTCGGGTAGGAGTCACGAGTCGCTCATGGTACATTCTCTGATCGTAGCCTACCTTTGTGATAAAACGTTTCTCCATAACAATAACGTACTCGAAAAAAAAAAACTATTAGGTATATACAAAAATAAATAATAAATATAGTTGGTCGAAATTACAGCACTCTCTACTCTAAAGAATTTAATCTACAATTCTTTTAACCTGGATTTGTCACAAATGAACTTGTGCATGTTCAGAACTTATCCTCTGGTCCTTAATTATATATTTAGTATGGAGTTTTCAAAAGTTATGAACAGGTTAGAAGTTGTGGAGAGAGAGAGAGAGAGGGAGAGGGAGAGAGAGAGATAGGCCAAAAAGGACATGCCATTGATCTTCAATTGTACAGAAAAAGAAAATTCAAAAACGTTATTGACTTTATGCGTGCATGTCAGACATTAACTTTGAGATAGCCTATGGTTTAAAATTTAAATAGATAATAAAAATAAATTTAAAAAAATTCCTTCTACATTGCTCTGCGAGATGAATTTTCGGTTGAATGCTAATAAACAAAAACACTTGAACAGAAATACGACGTTAGTAAGGAACAAGAGTACGTCTATGAATTGAATGATCCTGGCAAGCTATTGAACAGGAAATTATGTATTATCTCTAATCAGGAAAGAAAATCGTGTTTTTCAGTGAACAATAAATTTTATGGTCCGCCTTAGCAATGGTAAACTAAAGTTTACGTGGACTTGATAATCATTTGCGGACGCCACCTTCAAACCCTCCTTCCATGCACACTCTTTAAAACGTGTATATTTGTTTATCTTAAGGGATGATTAATTGAAAAAATCTTGATCCGCATTTGATGATCCAGGCATGGAAATTAAAGAAAAGAAAGAAATAACTATATTACAGTTTATAGATTAAAGAATCAATAATTCTCTTTCCTAGTTCAAGATAGGTGAGAAAGAAATATCCAATAACCGGGAAAAGTTTGCTGAACTTCAAAATGTCATTACGATCTGCAAAGGTGAATCTAGTGAAGAAATGAAAGAATTCGAGTCGCTGATGTCTGCTTACAACTTTTGGCAGGTAATTTTGATTTGTTAATGATGAACAAACTCAAAGTACATGTATAGAATTTTATCACAGCAAGAGCTAAGAAGCTAAAAATCGGGGAAAGTTCGCTCGTGATTCACTGATTTTAATGCCATTACAGGCATTGAATTATTCGATTCGATTCGAACATTAGTTTTTAAAATGTGAATGACTTAATCCAAAAAATCAACAAAATGATAAAAGAAAATTATACCAGTTTATCACCAACTTGAAACAAACAAGCTTTTACGCTTTCATTGAAAAAAAAATCTTTCCGTATAACAATACATGCATGTAATTGTCATTTTTTATGTTTAGTCTTCAGGACAAATTTATTCCCGGCCGCAGAAGTCTTCCGAAGAACCAGTTAGAAGGGGGGCTAAAAGAAGCAGCGGAAAAAGACTGAGTATGACGGTCAGGGAGTCCAGACATATTCCAGAAACATTTTTCCGGAACTTTCAAAAAGTTACACCCAAACCTTCTAAAGAGTCTGAGGAATTTCAAAAGATTAAACTCGAAAACGAAAAGCTTCGTGCACAGGTAGATGAATTAACCACAAGGTAAGCTTGGTCATAGCTGTTGCAAAGATAGGGATTTGATGACATTGTTAATAATATAAAATCCCTTAATTGATGTTGTAAATGCGGGTACTGAGAATACATTTAGATACTACATTTATCTAGTTTCTTTCGAGCATGGCATTACAACACTGCATAGCAACTGGTAAATGTGTCGAATTTATAGTCGCCAACTTGAAAAACAGCCTTTTTCCTTGGTGCATTTCATATAATGGGTTTTCCTCAAATCAAGAAAAATCATGAATATGGAGAAGTACCGGTAATACTAGTAATGCAGGAAATTCAATTTTGGATTGATAAAAGATATGCTCCTCTACTGTAAAACACCTTGTCAATTAGTGACCTTTCATAATATGGTTCTTTTATTGTTTTCAAACCATCTGCCAAATCTCTTTTCCTGGTAATCTCAGTGTGACAATTTGGCAGTTTAAGTTATACAGCCTACTTGTAAAGAACAAGGAAAAAATGTCAACTATATATAGTGACTATAATGCCTTTGGCATAAGTCTTTGAGTCAACAGAATAGAGCTTTTAACATAACATATGCACCTTAGGGTGAATATCAAAAGTTCATTTTCTTACAATTTTATCAAGACCCCCCTTCCTTTCAAGACTAAGTGTGATGAGAGTTGATTTAAATTTGATTACGTTTATTCATTAAAGAAATTAAATACTAATTGACTAAAATCTTATGGACGATATGCATTTTTTTGCGTAATTCTCTATGTTTGACATAAAAAAAGGGGTTCTTTAACCCTCCCCCAACTTTTTTATATTTAGTTTTATATCAGACATCTATCTTTTGATCTGCATCTTTTCAAATACTGTAGCATTCACTGTATACTTTAATTTGTTTTTTCCTCATTTCCCCCCTTTCCTGTGAAAGACTGAGCAAAATCGCTAGCGATAAACTCGCAGACGGAAATCCAAACTTTGCCGATCTGAGCGACAAGAACAGGCCAACAAAAATAGGAGAGAAGTTCGGCTTAGTGTATGACGAGGAGTGGAGCGAGGCTTTTGAGGAAATTATAACTAGGCAACATAAAGATGTGGAGGCATACGAAATCTTAATGAAAATTGTTAAGGTATAAGTCTTTTTGTTATCTGTTGTGAGTCTTAAACATTTCACGGAGTAGGAAAAGAGATATACTCCTTACAAGAGGGGAAAAGGTATTTCTATGTGTGTATTGTAATGTAACACACCAAAATAAATATTGAATGGAATTTTGTAATCCAACAGGATTCCGTTTTAATTCAGATATTCTGATCTTGCCGGCTTCAGAATGCATAGTTTTTAAAAATGATAGATTAATTTGCGTGTTTACTGTAAACTACATGTAGTAATTGTAAAGTAGACAAACTTTTGATACTGTTGTGCAGGTTGGAATAGTGTTCTGTCAAGAAGTAGCGAAATCACAAATGTCTTCTATCGAAACAGGGATGCGTGAACCAATGCTGCGTCCTCAATGGTGCAGCAACGGAAAGGTTTGTTTTCTGGTGTCGGATGAATTAAATGTAGTATTCATAGTCGTCAATTGTTCACTTTCAAGACTTTCACCTGAATAATATGGTAGTTCTTGACTATGCACAGCAGTCTTTAAATTAGAACAATCGAAATTTTCAACAATAAAGGTAATTTCATTTTTGTTTGCATAAATTCTTTGGAATTTTGACTTTAAAAAATATTTAAATTTATGAGTATTTAGGAATACTCTGTGGAAGAGATGGAGGCAAATACAAGCTTTACAGCATCATTGAAAAAGTTTGCTAAGGATTTCCGTAAAGCTACATCGACATCGTCAATCAGCCCTCTGTGTACGGTAAGTATCCATGTCCTCATGTATATGTTAAACACTCTGCCCCTTGTTTTTCTGGAACATATTAACCTTTTGTATGAATCTGTAAGTCCCCCACAAGTCATTTTTAAGAAACCTTTCCTTATTTTACAGTAGTCAGCTGTGTGTGATACAAGTTTTCTTTAAGAACACCCCTTTTTCTCGCACAGAAAAGCTTGTTTTTATTTAGTTCCTTTTTACCAACTTTCTTTATATCCATACAAGAAAGTGTTATGATTTGAGGGATGGAGAAATATATAACTTCCTTATATCTGAAATTGCTTTATATCCTTGTAAGCGAGTTTAATTGTATTTCGACCAACTAAATGCTTCTGTTTTTCCTTGAAAGTCTCCAATGTAATATCAAGTGTTTAATACTGGTAGATATTTAAAGATGCCAAACTCAAAGAAATTATCGACTGGGATGTGTACAAGATGGACAACTTGAACATTTACATAGACGCATGCATCGAATGCTTATGGTTAATGTGTGTGCAAGATCCTCCAATGCATATTGTGTCGTTAAACAAAGGTGACACCTATAACCCTGCTTGTTTTAATATGTTTATGACAAAAGGAAAAGAAGTGGAGTATACGGTTTGGCCAGCTGTTTTCCTGTACAAAGACGGACCATTGATATCCAAAGGATATGTCAAAGTCAAATAAGCGTGTGAAATGGTTATGAGAAAAGAATTTAAAAAGTGCAGCGCTAGCCAAATCAAATTATTTAATTCATTTTTAAAGATATTTATTTATATAAATCTGAATTAATATGGGATATCGAAAAGGTGATAAAAACAACAGTTAGTTGTATATGGTTGTTGAATTTCGACTTGTTTTAAGTTCACCTGAGTGATCTTTTCTGATCAAAGTTTTCCCGTCTTCCATGCATCTCTTTGTCTGCGTGGAGCCTGTACGTTTATTCAACACATTTTCAGCCTTTTCCCTTTAACCACTGGATTAATTTCAACTAAACTGAGGGGAAAAAAACACTAAGATAAAAGAAATTCGTAAGTTCTATGGTCGATACAGTGACCTTGTCAGCAAATAATTGTTAGGCCATTATTTACACACTGAATTTCCGATATTTACCGATCATTACAATTAAGGAGCACATGGCTGGTGTGACCGGTCGGCGGGGGATGCTCACTCCTCCATGGCACCTGATCCCACCTCTGATGTTTTTGGAGGTCCATGTTTGCTCTGCTCCCGAATTGTATTGTTTCAATGGACTTTGAGTTGAATATTGTTCAATATATCCATATTTCATTCAAACGAAGGACAACGCAGCAAGAGAGATAAGGGAGATAGATTATAAAAATGGCGGTTTTTCAAAATCTTTTGAAAATTTCTTACCTCCAAGTACCTAATCAAGAGGTACTGTGAGCACTGATCTCACAAAAATGATAACCCCCCTCCCCCGCCTCCCATATGATTATAACGGCAAAGTCCATGTTATGGTATGGGAGACAGATCAAAGAGTAAAAAGGGAGGTGCAAAATGGCACTAATAATAAAGATTCTGTGAAAGTATCATTTAATTATATGCAGTGATATAGGAGGAGTTCGGAAAAGAAATTGGTACTCCTCAGTATTATAGAAAGAATAGCAGTGTCTTATGTTCTGATATAAGAAACCCGAAATATGTGTCCGATCAAAAGTTAAAACAGAAGGTCACAAAGGCAGTATGTAACAAAGATTCTGTGAAAGTCTTATTAAATTTCATGATGTGGTATGAGAAGAGTTGTGGATAAGAGATGGGTACCCCAAGGCGTAACGGACGGACGGACAGACAGACGGACGGACTGGACATCAAGCATTCATGATTGTATGATTGTAATAAATTGAACTCTCTACCAAAATTGTGAAATTCAAGGCCCCAGGGTCGGAGGTCTAGTGTTATAGAGGGGCTTTATAGATAGTTTTCGTATGTTGTATTGTCCCTTCGAGTTATTTCCCTTGACCGCCATCTTGGAGGTCAAACTAGTGAATTTTCCTCTTTGAGCAACAAATTTAAACACGTTAGACAGAAATATGAGGGCAGCTATCATTAAAATACACATGTACTAAATTTGAATTAAAGGAGGCTATTGTTAACATATACTCGTAAATGAGGCTGTTGTTAACATACACTCGTAAGTAAAACTGTGTTATCTTCACCTCGCTGCCCAGTATGATAAAAAAAAAAATGGTTGAATAATGAAGGAAGTTGGGCTCGTTGAACTGAATATGGCGACCAACGGGAAATAACTCTTTCTAAAATCGCGTCTATCGAAAACTATCTATAGATAATATAGTGTAAATGAGTAAATTCTTTGAAAATCTTCTCTCCTCTGGTATATTAAGCAGACTAAGTGTGTAGATATAATGAGCAAGGGTGTCTTTTCCAAAATTGTAAAAAAAATTATGGTTTCATCTACATGATCAGGGGTTTCGGAGTGAGGAGAGAGCTCAAATGATCATATATTGAAAATGCATTAATTCTTCTCCTGGGTATTAATCAAACAATTAAGATACCCGTAAGTGCATGGTTATGATAAACACGGGTGCCGCTTCCAAAATTGTGAAATTCATGGCCCTTTAGTCAGGAGTTCTGGAGTTGGGTTGGGCTCTATTGATGCATAATTTTTTTTTAATTCTCTGTTAGGTAGAAGACTGGTAAACTAAGTGCATGATTGGAATAGCAAAGTTGCCTCTCCCCAAATTTTGAAATTAACGGCCCATTGGTCAGGGGTTCTGAAGTTATGACTGTACTGTATTATGATCATAAAATGAAAATTAATTTTTGAAAATCTTCCTTTTAGCACCTGGGTATTTACATGTAGCAGACAAACCAAGTGCATAATCATGTTTAGCAAGGTGTCTATTCCAAAATTATTAATTTCATGGTCAATGAGTCAGAAATTCCTGTGTTAGGGTGGGGCTGTATTGATCATATAGTAAAAATGCATTAATTCTTTGAAAATCTTCTCTTCTCCTCGGTATTAAGCACACTAACTAGTATATAGTTATGATAAGGAATAGTGCTTCTTTCAAAAATAGTGAAATTCATAGCCTTTAGACAGGGTGGGGCGCTATTATGATCATGGAATTTTTACGCTGCTTTAAGAGAAGTTATTTTCCATTGTTATTTACTTATGAAAATTAATCACTGTAAATAATGTTATTTACAGGTAAATTGATTGAAAGAAGAATATAAGAATTTTTATCGTATAATGCAAAAAGTACTTTCAGAGTTTTTTAATAGTCAAGTAGATGTGTAAATGATAGAAGAATAAATATTAAACAAAAATTTCTTAAATATGTGCATTAAATATTATTCAAAGACCGATGGCCTTGGAATATTCTGTGATTATTGTGTTTTATTCTAAAACATTGCTGTTTTGCTCTGTTTGGTGACAGCAATGGCACTTGCAAAAAAAAAAAGAAAAAAAAAAGATGAGGCCACATTAGAGGACTAAAGTTTTACACAGAAGTATGTAAATTTATACTAGAGCAATGTTTCTACAATGTGTAACATTTTCTATACTCAATTATAATTGCTTAAGATACTGAATTTTGTAAAATATATGCATATTTATTTGTCATTAAGATTTGATAACTCTTGTGAGCGTTGTGACTCTTGGAACTTTTGTTAACATATATTATGCATGTATTGAATTATTTTATACTTACTTTAAGTATGGACTAATCTGTTGACATACTTTTCCAGAGCATTATCAATAAAAATATGATTGGGCATACAATCAGGAAAAGTTGGTCATTAATTTTATTTTCATTGACCAAGAGAATATAGCATAATAATATTTCTTAACACACATTCGTGTTCTATGAAATACATGTATACTTTATTTTGAAATCTACGACTTTCTTGAAATAATCTGCCTACTTGTCTATAGCAGTTATTGGATTGTCCTGTCTATGGGTGAAATGTACAAAATACGATACTGTCGGCATATTTATACTTCATATTCCTTGTTTTAAATGTTCGTTTTCCAAGATATTGTTTACGCATGCATATGCAGTGCCTAAAATATAACATGTTTGCACTTATGGATTATTGTATTTCATATATGTATAAGTTGTTTTTGTTCTTTTATTAAAATTTTCAATAAAAAACTACATAATGTTACTCATATTCTTTTAACTTTATTAAATAAGTGTAAAACATCTACTGTCCATATACCTTAAAAAATGATATTAAATGAGGGTGCTTTAACATTAAAGTACCTCAGATGAAGTACCGATTTATCATTTTGAAATTCTGTCACACAATGGCTATACTTTATTCGTGTTGAAGTGGAGAATTAAAATCATATTGATGAATTATTACACGTATGAATTTCTCTGAGTTATTACGAAATTCCGAATTATGTATTTTTGAAAATATGGATAAGAATTTTTTTTACATTTTTAAATCAAAACTAGAAACTATGATAGAAAAAAAAAATACAGGCAAATTATTGTAAAGAAAATATGAATGTTGAGAAGTATCTGAAGCTTTAAAGCTAATGATTTTCTCTAGTAACTTCCTTTTTATAGGAATAAAACTTCATTGATACAAAACTACAAAGTATACCAATCAGCAAGGGCGTGAGCGATTATTATACATGTAAATCAATAGTTAAAAAAATAAAGATTCAGGAAAAAGAATCGTGAAGCCGATGTGTAGCAACTACACATGTCCATTGATTTTTAAAAATACAGGAAACTAATATATGCTGTTGTGTTTGTCTAAGTAAATTCTTTCTATTACTAAAATTTGTAATTTTTAATTGTACATTATTTTCAGTAATTCAGTCTTAATTCAGTTGTTTTGTTTTGCAATCAAATTGAAATATGCTTAATTCAGGTCCCCTGAACTATTTGCATCGGTCGTACCAATTTCAACCATTTTTTTTTTATTAAGCATCTATATGGGATGATGCCGGTGAATTCATGATATCTGACTATTGGGCCTGATGGATGAACGCAAACCAGTTTATTAATTTTTTTTCCTGAGCAACTAACAAACTGTTCCTAGGATTATCTTGAGCAATAAGTTCTTTACCAAAATTATGAAAATCATTACGTATGGTCTAAGGATTTAGGCCTCAGGACGCGGTTAAGTTGGCCATCCAACTGAAAACAGCATTAATTCAATAGGAACTCTAAAAAAATATATGAAATCATGGATCAATGGTTGAGGTAAAACGGGCTGGGCGAAGTTGATCATCAATAAAACTGTATTATAAGTACTCTATGGATGTATATTTTTCTTGTAACATCTGTCATGTTTGTGATTATAGATCGCTTAGCTATTCCAGCTTGTTCGGTCTTCCCAATAGGTGGTGTTCGATGCATTGCAACGATATATATTGCAGCATGTTTTGTTAATTGGGTCAAATGACTATCAACAGTTTTAAGGTTTATTTATCTTTGATGAACAATTGAAATATTACTTTTACATAGATTTAATACGGTTTTGACATAGTTGTTAACTTACAATTACTTTTGGGCCGGTGCCCATTGTATGTGGGACTGTGACATGAGTTCTTATCCCGTCTCTCCATCTGCGTTTCTAAGAAAAAACTATATACAATCGTCAACTTTTGACAGCAAAAATTCATGTATGTGTACCTATGTATATTTTATCAATGTACCTATATATTTTATCAATATTCCCTATTATACATTATACGAGAATAGTAAGATTGATATTGCCACACTAAGTTTTATAACATGCCGAGAACTTGGTATCCTGTGCTACCGATCTTATTATATCCTCATCCCTTAAAAGAGATTTCACAATATTTTTTTTCAATTGAATCAAATTTTTCCTTGATCATTTCAAGTTCATCTGATTGCTAAAGATTGCAAGGCAAATCATACAAAAGAACTGCTTTATCAGTTGAAGTAGATGAAGGACACTGGCTGTGAGGATGGTGTTTAAAATTCGTGAAGGAATTCGAAAATGTATGATTAATTAAATCCACTGGAGTATTAGTACTCCTTAAACCAAATTCTGAGATAATAACTTCGAATCAGAACTGAGAATATTTGTTTGGATGTAATGCGTTTCATTTTTGTGTCGCCTGCAGGGCAGAGCGACACTTACTGATCACTTTACCCGGCGTCTGTCTGTCTGTCCCGTCTGTCACATCTTATAACTTAAAAACTGGAAGAGGAATGGCTTTGATATTTTAATCTTGTATTACTTGGCAATATGGCTTTTGTAAAATATCAATTAACCTAGTGACCTTTCAGTTTGACATTGCTGTTCTATCGCAGTCTTAATATCTGTGATATTTTTTTTTTCATTGCAAGCAAATTAATGTATGAATTACTAAGTATAGTACTATTAATGCAAATAAATAAAGCTGACCACGACCACTCTCAGATTTATTTATACATGTATATTTAATGATGCTATAGCAGGCGACAAATGCGTTCCTTGGACTACTTAGTTTACTCAATAAATGAGCAGTTCGAGTTTAGTTTTGTACCACAGGCGCTTGTTTCATACAGTAGTTAATTAGTTTCGTTTATTGATTTTCAATCTAAGTTGAAAATGTTGTCGTGTAATCATTTTCAACTTCAGATTGAAAATTAATAAACGAAACTAATTTACCACTAGCATACTGTATGAAACAAGCGCCTGTTTAAACAACTTTTGTTTAATAAGGAGGCATTGAGGGCCCAGAATTTAAAAAAAAAATGTGTTTGGATATATAATTCTACTTTCAAGGAATTAGATATTTCTTTTCTAGTGGCTTTCATTATTCTAAACCAACTCCAGAATTTAGATATATTTCACTCATTATGATATGAAATTAGATTTAACAAAAGACATCAGATCACAGTACATTTATTAAATTACATTTAAGCACAATGATTTAATCAAGTTCATATAAAATAATGATTTTTGTGGAAAAAGTCCAGATCAAATAACCCGTGCTTTCTATGCTTAATTTTATACAATACATGTACCGGTATGTAAATTATAAAATAAGTATTGTGGCTTCTTTCTTGTGGTCGGTATTTAAAAGTATGCACAGAGTATTCGAGGTATACATAAGAAGAACCAACTGTTATATGAACTGAAGTCCTGTGGTACGAAGAACGTTTATTAATTTATTTTTGGCAAATCGTTGAATTCTGCATGTATTCCCCTACACATTTAAGAAGAAAGTAGAATACGATTTTTAATCCTTTTTACATCGTTTAAGTTGAAATTAATTACAAAATAGAAATCATTATTTTACATTTTAAATGAAACTTGAAAGGTTAATAATGGGTGTATTTTACATTCATCAGTGATAATTACATCGTCGATCGGAACCGTGTCTGGGTTTTTCTGGAGCTCCGTTAAATGATATTCAACGAAGTGTAGCGGAGAGAAAACATTTAGATTCCGACAGTGTGATGTTAAGAATCATAATTTGTGTAAATAATTGATACATCTTTTTTATTCTTGTTAAACAAGTATGAAAACAGATAATCAATATGGCAGAATCATTGAAATAAAACACATTATTATTTAGCTTTCATAATTGCTTAAAATGACAAACATATGAATTTATTTCAAAACCAATTCCATGATGTTTCTGAAAAAATAATCCAGAGGATATGAATTTCACAAGTTGACTTCTTTTCATTATCATGAAAATGGTATTACAATTTAAGCCCAGAACTAAGGAAGTTTATGGAAAATGCTTATATGGCAATTTCTGTACATTACTAAGTTAAACCCGCCTTTTGGCTCCATTCTCCCTTAACATTAGAATGCATATATAAGGTAGTCGTTCCTTAGGTTCTGAAAATCAGCAGTTAAGTAATTGAAAATGCTCACAAAAGTGTCACTGAATTTACAGAATAATTTGAATATACCCATGTTATTTCTTCAAAGTTATTCATAATTATTATAATTAATCATATTATAAAATTATGGGGAAAATTATCGAATCTCAAATATAATTAAGTGGATGTTATATTGTAAGCGGTAGTTAATCTAGAACTATAGATGTCCCCAACATCGATTATTTAGATAAAATGAAGCTCCTCCAGGGCGTGCGTAAAAATGGTGAATTTTTGAAGAGTGCGATTCTTTTTTTTTTTTTAATAGAAAATGTTTTGTAATGTCATTTACCCCATAGCATTTTCTTTTAAAAAGATTTCACAAAAATTATATTATGTGGATTTTAAAAACAAAGTACATGGAAAAGATGTAAACTCAAGTGCACCATGAGCATACTATATCAATTTTCTTATCAAACTTAAAAAAAAAAAATTTCTTCTTTAAAAGACAAAATTTCAGTTTCCGTTTATAAGGCTTTTTCACATAATATAGCATGGTTGTAGTTTACATGAACGTCGTTCCATTTGTGTGTTATCATATCGATGCAGATTGTTGTATATCCTTTGTCTGGTTGCCCAGTACCCCAGTAAAAGGAGTTTATAACCCTTCCATCTGCAAACCTCCATATTCCGCCAGATTTAAATGCGTCAATGCGGAAATTGCTGACACCAGCTGAAAAGAAAATATTGAAGAACGCTAGAAAAATGCTTAATGTTAAAATTGTAAAGAAAGAAAATATGAAATATGTACAGTTTAAAATACTCACTGCCTGTGGGAAATGTGATACTTTCTATCAAGTTTTGTTTTTCTAATGAGTCCACTACCATGAGTCTACCCCCGGACTGACTACACAGCTGGTGGGCGTATGTATTATTGGCTAGAGTAATGTCCGGTTTGTAACATATAGAGAAAGTCCTGTCGTAAATGTAACCATTCCTTGTGCATCTAGAGGTTGTTAAATCTATAAACATTAAGGTCAAGATCTAGTAAATGAGTTTAGACTGTCTTTTTGGTGCTAGATTCATTATGACGTCATAATTGATTTAAACTTAATTTTTCCCGAACTTTACGGCTATAATAGAATTATGTAGAAAATGAAGCATTTTCATGAAATTCAATTTGAAATCATGTCAAAAGTAACCCCGATACCTATTTTTAATTTAATATCATTTTAAAGAAGAGGTCAAGAAGATATGAAAAACTGTTTTCTGAGAGACTGTCGGCAATAATGATACATTTCCATTTTCTGAGATGGAAAAAACTCCCATATTTATACCTGACTTCCTTCTTTTTTCATTGAAAATGACAGTTTAGAATATCTTTTTTCGTTGAATTTACCTAAAAATTATGTCCCGATACACCTAATTTTACCAAGCTATATTTGTAAAGGATCATTTAAAGAACTTGTTTCTCAAATTTGAGAAATCTGAAGGCACCTTTCATTTAATAGATCTTGACCTTAAAAATAAAATTCATTCTTTTTGTACTGGATCAGCAACTTCAAGATTTTAAAAAATATTGATTTATGCTTGAATAATTTAATTCTGGTTGTAACGCTGTATTTGATTGGATAAAAAATTTACTTTATATCGTATAAAATTGGTTGCCTACGTCACAATGACTTGCGTCAAAAACATATCGATCCGCCTGACGTTACATTCAAATTTTGTACAAATTGAAGTCATTTTTAAGGACAATCATTTTTTTCTTACACCAAATGAATGAAAGTTAAATTATTAGGAATGAATTTAATAGCTACCCATTTTATACGGTATAAACTGGTTTGGGGCAGTTTACACTTTATAAACCGCGAAGCGGTTTATAAAAAAGCGTAAACTGTTCCAAAAATTTTCCAAGGAAACTAGATGGTCTGAGGTACAAATACAACATGTAGAATGTCAAATTTTGCTGTCCTTTCGTATTTTTTTCTTCATAATTTGTTTTCTATCATTTTCTTCTTTGTATTCTTTTTTTTATTTGTATTTTATAAAAGGATGACTGCACTTAAGGACATGCAAAATTTGCGACAAAATAAACTTTTAAATGGAACACTTTTCTTTTAATTGTAGGAATAGTCAACATTCAATCTACAACTTTACGTAATTACATGAAATAAAAGTATGTATTTACGAAGTACGAATCTTATGATTAACATTTTCGATCATTTTTATAGAATTAACCCCCCCCCCCCCCAAAAAAAAATACTTAAACATACCGTTGACTTCTGAATAGGATTCATTTTTAATGACAACAAAGATATCATCTCCATTTTGTCCAAGATCTGAGGAATCGTATAGCTGGCATAAACCGCTGTCAAATCGCACTGACTGACATCCAGAAGTGAAGTGACAAGCCTGAAAACACTCCGCTCTTTCGAGGAAGCTCGTAGCAGAAAGAGGAGCAGGGTGTGTCCCACTTGGGGGCAGTTCTTTTATTTGTCGTTGAAATGTCGTTTGTTTGAATATGAAACATCGCACTACATTTGTAAGAAAAAATACGAAAAATAAATATCACTTTGATACAGGATCTCACAATGAAAAGAGCTGCATGAAACAATCTTAAACACTTCGGCTTACTTTTATTTATTATTTACATATTTTTAGTTGTGTCCCGTTTTGTTTTGATTTGTTCTGTCCAGACACTTTTATGTAAATAAAGATTGGTTCAATTTCAAATTGGTGAGACCCAATTAATTTATGTCAAAAAATCATTTTAACTTGACTTGCATTGGGAGCTGAAAGGAATTCAGGTTTGAGATTCATTTATCATAGTTCAATGCAAATCTTGTGTGATATTTTTAGTTCATTGTCAGTGCCTGAAATGTTAGCTTATAGCTAATGTTTCTCTTTGTTTGGAATATCCTGTTCGTTAAAATCAATTAATGACATACAAATATTCATCCTTTGATTCAATAAATTCAAATTATCTTATTCCATTCCAAAATTATCAAAGGTTTACCCTGGAGTCTAAACAAACAAATTGAACGCAAACAGGTCAATATTTTGCAGTCTGTATGTGTGTTGTAGTTTACTAATTGTTTAACTGGTCAGCTGACTGATATTTTGGGTTTAAATTATCTTTCGCAAAAATTGGCAGTATTGTGTCTTAATTCACGAAAAGGGGTGACACTTATTAGTCAAATTTATTATATATTGTAAAAGGAAATCATAGATTTGAAAGTATATAACATTTACATTGCATTCATTTCAATATCAAAACTTTTATTTTTAGCACAAAAAGGTCACCAGTAATGGCACAATTTACGTGCACGTATGTAAAATAACTTTTGTCAAAACATTTTGTGGCACTTAATAAAACAGAAGGTCCCATGGTCCTTAACTGTTACTTTGATATCATATTACAAGTCTTTTCTTTTTAAAGCACATTTCCTTCAAATAAGCCTCCTGTATGTCACTAGCTCATTAGCAGGGTATCTTTGTTACAAATCTATAGCGTAGATAAAAATGCCATCCTCATATTCAGTGATCTTGACCTTGTTAGCGGTTTAGATCTGACAATATGTAGCAGTTGAGTGTGCTTTTATGCCAAGTATGCTTTATGTTTCTTCGTGAATCTATTGTCCATTTCTGTCGAAACATATATTTATAGAAAAAGAAACTTTTCAATACAGGCCTATAGGAACCAGGAGGGGTAAATGCTAAAATTATTTTGTGCCCTTTTTGTCTGTTTTTTTTTTTTTCTTTTGGCTTGTCAATGAATTTTTGTTCGATTGTGTCCCCAAGAACTGAAATTCCTCCCAACTTGCCTGCAGTATAGGGCACCTAAAATAATCACAGTGGAACTCTTCGTCAAGATGGTGTAGATGAAATGTGAAGATAACGAACAATAATCATGCCCAAAAGTACAATTAAACAATACAAATTGAGAGCTGAGCAAACCAAAATCCCTGAGGTGGGATCAGGTGCCATGGAGGAGAAAGCATCCCCTGTCGATCGGTCACACCCGCTGTGAGCTCCTTTTCATGATCGGGTAAATAGAGAAATCCGTTGACAATTCAGTATGAAAATAATTGTCTAACAATTTGTATAAAAAAACGTCAGTCTACATTCGACCTAAGAACAGAATGTATATACAAATAAGGTCATTGTATCCACCATAGAATTTGCGAAATGTTGACTTCAAACCAGATTGTTGATACCCTTGTATCACAACCTATTTTTTCAGTAGCATGAAAATAGGAACATTTCAACCTTATTGATTTTAGTTGCGGCAGAGACATACAATTCTATTTTCAGAAAAAGAAGAAACACGTTTTAACCTGCAGCTTTCAATTATAATCCAAGAAAAGATATTGATTAGACCAACTCATGGTGAAGATATTATCAACCCGACATAAAAGTTTCTGAAGTTTTTGCGCAGCTTTAAGCAAGATAATGTCCTTGGACCCAATGACCCAGAGTAACCCCATCCATCATTTCTATGTGCAGACGTGAAAAAAAAGCTAAAAGTAAAACTAAAAAAATTGTTTCATTATAAATGATTTTCAGTATTTTAAATATGTGACCAACCTATCCCCTCAAGCAAAGGAAGAATTATTTGTAGAAAAGCCCATTGCTCTAAATAAGTATGCAAGCAATCTATCTATAAATTTCATGGGTAGAGAAGAATATTTTTCAAGATTTTTGTTTGTTTATTGTTTAACGTCCCTCTCGAGAATTTTTCACTCATATGGAGACGCCACCACTAGGCAGTGGAGAGCTGCAAATTTTGACCTATACTCGGCACTCAGGGCCATTGAGCAGTGAGGGATCTTCGTGCAAGCACCTACTGCGACACGGGACCTCGGTTTATACGGTCTCATCCAAAGGACCGGTCTCCTCGTCCCACAGTGGGATTCGAACCCGCGACGCAAGGATCAACTCCTTACTCCGCGACTCTAGAGCGAACGTTCTAACCACTGCGCCACGCGGGCGACTTTTTAAAACATCAAACTTATAGACCTAGCTCTGGATGAGCACCAAAGCCATGGAAATGTATTTTGTATTCTAAAAGGACTCATTGTATAGAATAAGCGTATAAGCAATTCAACTAAAATTTTTGAATTCTTTAGATCAATTTTTTTTTTCAAACATAGCCCCTCTCCGACATGAATATCAAAATTAATAGTAGGGATCACAGCTCATTGTACTTAACCAAGCATTCTGTCTGCTTGGTGTCTAAAGGAAAGAGATTTATTGTATTTTTCGATTACTAGTATTGAAATTTGTGATCCATTTTGTCCAACTTTAGACCATGCATCCATGACTGAGGGTATATGGAAGACACATAAACTGTTATAGAACACATATTGAATTTATGTCTTGCAAAAAGTTCATAAACAGCGATCACGAATTCACATTTTTTTTGCCTTTCACTACAATAAAAGTTGAGAAATATCGGTTCTGTGGTTTCAGAAAAGAAGCTGATAAAAATATCAAAGTTTACGCACGGCTCAAATAGCACATCGACAGACAAAATTGAAAGCAATGGCTCGCCAAAATTTGGTGACCATGAAAATTGCCTCCTGAGCCTTTCATAAATATTGCTAAAAATGATAATGTAATTTAATATAAATAAAAACGACTAACCTATGCAGAAATTAATGGTACCCAAGAATATTGTTGTATACTGCATATCTTTATCCAGTTTTACTTGTATAATCACCCAACAAATCTGAGCGCTCTCAAACAAATACTGATATTGACAATGAAGTATACCGAAGAGGATTTGATAATGTTGCCAACAAATAAAAAAAATCTAGTGAGGTCGATCACATTTAAAGGAAACCTTGCATCGGAAAGCTGTTTGCACAAAATTAATTGGTAATGGCTATTTTATCTTAAATATTGACCTTTAATGTTTGTTTTTAATATTGACGATTCAAAGGTATAAAAGAATCTCTTTTTAATGATTATTTTATAATTGATGGTTTCTCAATGGGTTTTATTGTGATTATAATAAAGTTTTAAATTTATCAATAAAGGAAATCTAATTTTCTGATTTTTGTTGTCCTTCAGAATAACCTAGATAGAAAAAGGCTATTGGACTGTCATGCAGCAACTTTTTTTCAGCATGCTGCAAATTTTCATGTTTACCAGTTCCATTGAATTCCAGCTTTTGCCTCTAATGGTCAACTGCAGTCCAAATGAAACGGGTAATACCTGTGATATATACAGCTCCGTGCACTTTTTAAGCTCACATGTTTTTTTTCCCTCCACAAATTATGGTCATATTCTTCTAATAATAATAATAAACATTGATTATCTAACTTAAGTTCGACAAAATAACCCTAAGACGTATCTGATATCTCAAGTCAAGGGTACACGCCCTTTTTCGAGTTTTCTTTGATACTATTTAGTTGAAATTTTTAAATCGCCTTCTTAAAGGTGAGTATTTTTCTAAATATTTTGCTAATTTACCATACTCGTCTTGGTTTTGTCAAAATGTAGCGCTGAAAGGAGACACAGCTGCGGATGGAAACCATGGCAAAAGGTAGGATAATGAAGAAACTTCTTTTAAATTTACGGTTTGAAACTTTGTTATTCTGCAGTAGGACGGATCTCTCTTGAAGCTAGATTTCAGAAAGTGACACTGAAAAATGCCAGCTTTTTAACATGGAAAGCAGTTGAACAGATGAAAAATACTGTTATCATCTTGATGGAGTCATGTAAATGTGCAGAAAATACAAGTTACAGGAGCTGTACGTTGTCTGTGTGTATGCGAGGGGAAAAAAGTCACCCATAGTCAAGAGAAAATCTTCAAGAATTTAGCATCGCAGGAAAGACGTCGACAATTTCTTGCAAGAGTTGAAGGAAAGGATTGTAAAATGAAATGATATCGCACTTAAGTAAAACAGCAATTCCAAAAAAGTTATATGAAGGAGTAAAATGAGATACTTTTCTGCAAAAAGCTACTGCTTTCAAAAGAACGGATACAAAAACGGCTGCAAATGGCAAGAAACCACTAAAGCCACTTGGAAATTGTTATTTTTCCAGCCAAAAGTATATTCAAGTCCTACCACATATTATCTGTGAATTATGTTTTTAATTAGTCAAATAAAAATTTAATAAACTATCACTTTTAAAATGTAAATTGTTGCCTCGTTAAACAATATCACATTGTGACAATGCGACTAATTTGCGGAAAAAAACATGTATTTAAATAGTACGCAAAGCTATATATACTTTTAATTAATAAGTAATTTTTATACGTTATGTAAACACTACGTATTTATCCTCAACTTAACACACTAACAAGAAAATGGCAATGAAAAATTGAACAAATTATTATTTAATTTACCTGGAAGAAAGCAAATGGTGAAGATAAAAAAAGAGAAACACACGACATCGATTCCTCTTAAGACATGTATTGACATTCCACCTTACGTTATTGTTTCTTAAGGTTATTTTTGGTCGTCTTCTATTTGGAATATTCTTTATATAATTAATAAACAAAACACACCTGTATTGCCCTAATGAACCAAAGGAACTTGACCTGATATTAATTATTTTATAGCTAGTGAAAAGCGATTGGTAATTCAAAAACTGTAATGACTGTTATAATGGGATTTTTAAATAAATATATATATATACGCCATACTAGTTACTAAAGTTAAACATATCAATTTTCAAAAGGAAATGGGACTACACTGAGCTGACATAACACAAAAATGCATTTAAAAAATATTTGGAATAAATATAAATTTACAATATGACAGAGCTTCCCTAAAAAACACAATACCTAATTATTTTTCATATCAAGATCGTGTATTTTAAAACTTCTGTTTTGCAGGTTGCATTATTAATAAAGTAAAATACTTATACAAATGCCTACAATTTCAGTAGCTTTCGAGGATTTTCCATGCTATCTTTGCAAAAGTAGAATATTAAAAAATTTGCAGAGAAGCAACATTGCTTGATTTTCTGGTTACAAACGTTATGGCTAAAACCTGAAACATAATTTAAAAAAAAAATGCATTTTCAGCTCCCTTTAAATACTTTCTTACATGGGTGAATTTAAAAAAAAAAGACCAACAAGATGTGTTTGTGAAACACTGATGCCCCCGTATGGCAACTCATTACAAAGGTTAAACTTTCTCAAATGTAAAACAAATATGTTGGTACCCAAAGTAAGGTCTTGTCTCGAGGAATATACCTGTGAAATATGAAAACCCTAGCAGCAACCATTGAATAGATATGGAAGAGGTTAGAGTTTTTCAAAAGTAAGTCAAACATCAAAGTCAAGTTCAAATGTCAAAATTATTGGTGCCCAAGGAAAGACCTTCTCACAAGAAATACACAGTCATGTGAAATATGAAAGCCCTAGTACCAACCGTTCAAAAGTTATGGCCAAGGTTATAGTCTTTCAAAAGTAGGTCAAATTCCAAGGTCAAAGGGTCAAAGTTGTTGGTATCTAAATGAAGGTCTTGTCACAAGGTATACACATGTGAAGTTTGAAAGCCCTAGCACCAACTTTTCAAAAGTTATGGCCAAGGTTGAAGTCTGAAAAAAAAATTTAGCAAAAGTGGGTCAAACAGTGATCTTTTGGACAAAATATTTTGATAGTTAATTTTCTAAAGGAATTTGCATATTTCCACTTTTTATGAATTGCTTATTCCCCTTTTGAAATATTCTTTAAAACTTTTAAATCAAAATAATCTCTCTGTGTAGTGTGTGTAATGTACAAATAAATAATTTTGATTAAGTTGTTTATGAATTGGCAATTTAAATACCTAATCCAATGGCTTCTAATCTTGTTTTAGAAGTGATTAACAGGTATTAATATGTGTCCTAAGGTCAGAGATTAACACTGAACTTTAATAGATATTTGATTTGCCTAATGATAGTTTGACACATAATATGTCAAGTACCAACATTTTGAGATATAGGTTAGAATGCTGAAAAAGAAAATATCAAGGTAAAACGTATCCATTGTTTTACGTAAATACGTATATCAAAAAGCTAAAATGACATCAAATTTTGCAACACAAATGAATTACGGTACAAACATGAATAAACTTGCTACTAATCAGAATCTATTTATTCCTATCACAAATTCCCCAGTGGAAAGTATCTTCAACGTGACAGGAAAATCTTCAAACCTGATAGATGTAGGTTAGGGGATACAATATTTGAAAATTTCATGAACATGTAAATAAAAAGTGTTGTAACTGAATCTGATATGAATATAAAGGAACTTTCTAATCAATTTATTTAAACGTTTTCTTAAAAATTAATTTGTAATTTGATTAATTACCTTTGCAAAGTAATTTTAATTTAATTAATTACATTTTTTAAAAATCTTTGTAATGGTAATTTAATTGAAGGTTTTGGGCAAGTAATTGTAATTGACCCCATCCCTGGTCTTTAGATAGTGTCTTAATACCTGACAAATATCTCATTGATATCTCAATTCACAAAAAAGTTATGCCAAAAATGATGCTAAAAATGTCAGGAATGCAACAACTTTTTGTGACATTTTGAAACATCAATATTTTTTGCAAATCTGTGAAATAAATAATAATGGTTTATGTTGTAAATAAAGACTTTCCTGATAACGTTCAAAGTACTTGGCTTTAAATATAGACTGAAGCAACTTTTGTTTGGCCAAGTTCTGGTCATGGCTGATGTTGAAAAAATGTTATACCATGTCAGGAGTGCAACAAAAAAATATGTTCCCAAAAAATCAGCGATTTTAATATCTGAAACACAAATAAGTCAAAAAAGACTCTTCAAAGTGTTAAACAATAACTCATATACAATTTAAAACTTAAAAATGTTATATAAATCACAAGCAGCATTAATGAGAGTCAAGTATATGTGCATACCCAATAATGTCAGGAGTGCAACATTTGATGTTTTGCTCCTCAGCATGGAAAAAAAACTTCTATCAGTATATGAATCTCTGATTTTATTTTGGAAAATAAAAACAAAAACAATTTATCAATTACAGGATCTGTCTGTATTTCAGATCTTTCTATGGTCAAGAGTACGTGTTATATGATGAAAAGACTTCTATCCATGCCAAGAAATATTTTTTTAATTGATAATGATCTATTTTAATAATTTAGTACTAAATTATTCATAATTTTGTTATTAAAATCCTTCTCTTTTATTTTATCAATTCAAATGTGTTTTCATCTTTTCTTTGATTTTTTTTAAGCATGTAAAAAAATTAAACACACTGAAAAATTGTTATAAAATTCAAGTAATTAAACCTCAACTCCACTGATACAACAGAACAAGTTATGATGTATTTTTTGCTTCACAATTCTACTTTAAAGACTCATGCTCTTGGTCAGGAGTGCAACAATTATGTTAAAATTATTGCTGATCAAATATGAATAAATATAAAGAAAAAATTGATAAGTAGAATGTTTCTGGTTGACCTCAGTTGCTTACAGTGTTTGTCCTGTGAAGGAAAATATACTAAAAATATATATTTTATCTTCTAAATATATATTTTAGCTAGTTTTTTGACGTAAATAGGGAATAATTCAAGATATAAAGCCAAGTTTAAATACTTTCAAATGTTTTAATTCTGAAGTATTGGACAATAAATATTCGTATTTCGTACCACTTGATGTTACCAACACTTCATGAATTTTTGTGTTTTATGGTTTTAATTTTACTGCATGTTTGATGCTATTTGATGTTCAAAACATTTTGTCTATCAACTGATTATAGACATTTTACAGTCAATTCAGAGAGTAGTTTTCATCATTTAACACATACACTTGTATTTTTTAAATGCAATGTAAATATATTGCACATTGCAAATAATCATGTTTTGAAGTCTTGAAAATATTAAAAACTTGCCGTAAATGATAAAAAAATATCAAAATGACGAACTGAATTACAAACTAAGAATAAGTTATTGTGTGTTATAATTTTTAAAACAATGTTAAATAAAATACATATAAGATGTCAGAAGTATTGTAACATATGGTCACTTCAAAATCTAGTATTTTTTTTTAAAGAAAACTTGTATATCAAAATTCTTTATTGGCTTAGATTTAAAGAATTGACTTAAATGGACAAAAAAGTGATCTTGGGGAATTTTATTGTTTCATATTTCTTTCATATAAAATCTTTTCAAACTAGAGTTGAAAAAACAATGTAAAATAACAATGAAAAATCCGTTTTTTCCACATATACAAGAGAAGAAAACTCAGTCAAGGTGTAGATCTAATCATTTATATCCCTGATACCATTTTGAAGCATAAAAACCATAATTTCTTTTGATTATGTATTTTAGAGTCTTTTAGGATGCGGTGGTTTTCTTCTTTCACATAAAGTTTACTAATAAAAATCCTGAAACTTTTTTTTATGCAATTGGCAATTCTATTGCAACTTCAGGAATTTAACTGGAATGCGTGTACAATATGATGATGTAAGTGAAAAAAAAGTTATTGGTAGTTAAATTTTATCAAAAAATTTCAATTTGATGGTCATTATTTTTTAATTCACCCCTATTTCAGGGGTGTGTCAGTGACTTCCAATAGTTGTATATCACATTTCACCAATCTATATCACTTTATTTTTTAATCATACTATAACATTCATTCTTTCAAATTGTATTTATAATATTGAAATCACTTCAAAGAGCTGAAAAATAAGTCAAATGATAAGATCTTTTGCAATTTATTACTCAGTATTAATATAATATTTAATATACATGTACATGTATTATTAATTTAACTATATTGATGTAAATATTTCATGTGTATCAGAAGTGCAGACTTACAATACAGTGTATTGCAATCAATTACTAAGTTCTGAAAATTTGCAAAAAGTGAATAATTAATAATTAAAATTAAAAATGATAAGAAAATTATAAAGAAAATTCATCTGTCATTCTTCCAATCAACCTACATGAAAATAAAATCAAGAAAACTGTAGACAAAATTAAACAAAAAAAAAAAGAAAAAAACTCTACATGAAATAAAAAAAATAAATGAAGACGCAAATATTGGCTTCAATTGAGGTATTTATCAGGTATGTTTTTTTCAGTAAATCCAACTTCCAACGGAAGCCCATTTATGACCTATTAAAAAATATTTTCGTATTCAATATAACTTATTGTCAAATTTGTTATAACGAATTTGATTCGTTATAACAATTTGTTGAATTCATTATAATAAATTAAATCTTTTGAATTCGTTATAATGAAGTCAAGAAATTGCTATAACAGATTAAATTCGTTTGAACAAATTCTAACATTTGTTATAACGAATTAAACTCGTTTAATCAAATTTGACAATTAGGGTCTATAGAAAAATATACATAAATTCGATATAACGAATTGTAAAATTCGTTTAAACAAATTTAATTTGTTATAACAAATTTTTGAATTTGTTACAATGAATTCAACAAATTTGTTGTGACAGATTAAATTCGTTTTAAAGAGTTCCACAATTTGTTAAATCAAATTCAATGATAGATCCTAAATGCGCTTCCGTAAACTTCAGAGTGGAGACAATACGTGAAAATGACTATGTATTCTGCGTTATAACCATTATGCAAATTTTGCAATTACAGTCGCATCTCATTATCTCGAACTCAACGGGACTGAGGTTAAACATCGATATATCTGAGGATTCGAGATAAAGAGGGTAAAAATCATAAAGAAAAAGTGGTTGGGACTGGTAAATCACTTCGACATATTCCTGGCATAGGAGATATTGGTGTTCGAGATAAAAGCTCAGTTGTGACTGTTTAAAATCACTTGGGCCAGATGAACCCTTTGCTAACAAGGGGTCCTTTATCATACAGATAGACAGCAGGCCAGACTGTCAGGTTCACAATGTCCCCCTTCTTTTCATAGTACTTGTAGGACTTTTTGTCCATCTGTTCCCCCTGTTTCTGCCAGCAGATACTCATGGGTGGATCCTGTACCACCATCAGCCACACAAACTCCACTACTTTGTCTATGTACTGCTCCACATGCACAAGTTTTTGGTAGTCCAGTTTACGACCCTCTTTGATAAATGTTTCCTTGAACATCTGTGTACAAAATTATTTTTTTTCAAACATTTGTTGACTCTCCATATTTTTAACTGCATTTTAAGTATAATAATATTGTTATGTGTAACCATTCTGCAAAACATGAATATCTTGATTTTCAATGTAAAATCGATTTGAACTTAACCATTTTTGATTGATAAACATTAAACTTCAAAAACATCTCCTGATACTCAGTATGTTGAATATATTTTTCACACTTTTTGTCTATTATGTTTAATTGTTAGAAAATTTCTTAATTGTGGTTGCTTATTTGTTATCATAAATTTTGTTAATCACTCTCAAAACAAAACGAAATAAAGATAACTCATGAAAACAAATCCCTTGGTATCACATGAAACTTGCCCATCACGAAAATGTACCAAATTCAACAGAACATTCATGTATAACTTGCTTTATTAACCATTTTTTGTCCAATAAAAAAATTGCTATTTCTCTTAAAGCAAGATTATTCTCCTCATTTATAACAGTTTTCAGATTAAATTTCAGGTTTTGTACATACCACACATAGAGACGGCACTGAGGCTTTGGCAGACGCCTTTTGGAACTCCTTGGCATGCTTAGTTATGGAAGCAAAGCTCTGGGGGTCGTGTTTTGTAGACCTGGATTTGTCAACAACTCGAACATCCTTCAAAGAAACATGGTCCAATAATTTAATCGAAACGCATTAAAATGAGTCACATGTCGATCTTTTAAAGTCCAAAGCAATATTTTTGCAATGTACAAAAAATCGTTCTCATGTTGAATTTTAATACTTCGAATTACCTCATCTTTGATCGTCCATTGAACATGAACCATGCAGAATCTCATACTATCCATCAAACGTTGGAGCTGCTGTTCTTTGACATCCTTTGTGAATTTTTCTGCGTGCTATTTCCGGAAAGTTGTAATTTCAGTTAAAATGCATGTAATAACAATCAAATCAATGCATACTTTTTAATAGCAGTTCCTTTATTTAAAATATCAATACAATTTGTAGTCAACTTACAATAATGATTTCCATTAACAGTTTAATGATCTCCTCATCAGTTTTGCCAGTTTCTTGCAACTCTTCAAAAGCATCTGACCATTCATTGTCGTAAACATTGTTAAATTTTTCACTGAGTTTTGTAGGTCTGTTGGCATCGCTCAAGTCGGCTATGTTGGGATTTCCTTCTAGAAGTTGTTTACTGGCAAAGCTGCTTAACCTAAGGTAATAAGAGAACACTGAACTGGATTTTTTTTAATGTGTTACGTATTACGTGTACATATCTAATACACCACATCCGGGTCAGTTACAATGAAAACTTATCCACATGAAAGTCCAGATATTACCAATAACAGAGCAAAAGCCCTGGGTATAAATTTAGAAGGATCTTCATCTCATAGCTAATACTTTATACCTTTAACATTCTTGAAATAAACATTTAATGTGAGGTGTAACTAATTAGGGATCCTAACTAGAACTTTGATCCCACCTCGTGGTGAGTTCCTCGATCTTGGCAAGGTGTATCTGTTCTCGCTGTTCCATTTCTTTTAGTCTTTCCATGGACACGGCCATTTTCTTCTCGTCCACTACCGGTTTCATGCCTCCATCCTCGCTGTCTTCACTGGTCAGACTGGCTTGGGAGAGTGACCGATGAATTTTTCCCCTGTGTGGCGGATGAGGGGCTCCCCCTTTTTCTTTCTTCTCTTTGGGTGGTCTACGAACAATTTCCGGAGTTCTGATCTCATCTTTCAAAACATCCTCCTTTAAATATACATGTATTGATACTTTTCCATTTGAGACCTCAGTTTCATATTATCAGTTTTCAAAACTTTTTCCTTAAAAATAAAGCATTTTATTTTATACAGGTTGAATATCAAGAATTGAAGTTTATACACATCATATGACATTGTTTAGTGACAACTTAAACATATATATATATATATATATATATATATATATATATATATATATATATATATATATATATATATATATATATATATATATATAATCCAAATTTAAATAAAAAACTAAAACTTTAATCTATAGAGCTTTCGCCCCATGCGGGCTCATCTACTGATGGGGCGAAAGCGCTATATATAGATTAAAGTTTTAGTTTTTTATTTAAATTTGGATTTTATTTTATCCCTATACCAAGGAAAAATATTTTATTGAATATATATATATATATATATATATATATATATATATATATATATATATATATATATATATATATATATATATACTAGTATATAATGTATCAAATATAAAATTTCGGACTTTATTTAAGATTTATTTCCTCCTCCAGTACCTTCTCCTCCTCTGGATGAAGTGTGAAATATTTCCTCTCCGCGAGTAGAAGATCATCCAGTTCCTTCTTGGAGTCGGCGTTTTCTGGATTCTCATTCACTTCCTCTTGTATGAAATTTTTCAAATGCTTGTAGCGACTATCGTCAATCGTGGCATCTCTAGGATCCTAAATGTCGTCATAAAAATCTTTTCAAAAATAAATTACCAGATGTACGCCTTTTTAATAAATATATATGTATATAAAATTGAAATTTATTGGAAAATAAGAAACACCATGTTTACCATAAGGTCTAGTTCTTTGGCCTGTGGGTCTCTCTGTGTTTCTTTAAGCCATTTCTTTTCAATGATCAGTAAGTCCTTGTAGTCACTCTCCGCGTACCTGTACCTGCGGGCGGTCGTGTCGTTGTCTTCCTTTACGCGATTCAGCACCGCTTCTATCTTCTCTCTTTTGTTAACCTTCTTCTTGGGAACCTTTGAAGAGTGAAAAACATTTTACTGAGGTATGAAGTCTTCGAGTTTTTTTTATACGGGTATGTATGAGATTTTTCCAACGAAAGCTTATTAGTATCAAGTAAAACAAGATGTGTTTGTGGAACACTGATGGCCCCGTCTGGCAGCCCAAGGTTTTTCAAATGCACGTCAAACTCCAAGGTCAAGAGTTCAGAAATGCTGGTATTCAAAGAAAGGTCTTGTCACAAGGAATACACATGTGAAATATGAAAGCTCTAGCACCAAACATTCAGAAAATATGGTCAAAGTTAAAGTTTTTTCAAAAGTAGATCATACTCAACGGTCAAGGTCATGAGGTAAAAAATATTGGTTCAAGAGGAAAGGTCTTTTAACAACGAATACATATATGTATATAAGTGAAATATGAAAGCCCTAGGACCAACCGTTCAAAAGTTACAGGCAAGGTTAACATTTTTACAAATGTAGGTCAAACCCAAAGGTCAAGGTCAGGAGGTCAAAAATGTTGGCAATCAAAGAAAGATCTTGTCACAAGGAATGCAAGAAATTTGAAAGTACTAGCACCAACCTCTCAAACGTTTTGGCCATGGTTAAAGTTTTTCAAAAGTAGGTCAAACTCCTAGGTGAATGCCAAAATGTCAAAAATTTTGGTACCCAAAGAAAGGTCTGGTTACATGGAATATGGAAATGAAGTATAAAAGCCCTAGCACCAACCGTTCAAAAGTTATAGCAAAGGTTAAAGTTTTTTTTTCAAAAGTAGACCGAACTCCAAAGTCAAGAGGTCAAATATGTTGGTACCAAAAGAAAGGTCTTGTCAAAAGGAATACACGTGTGAAATATAAAAGCCCTAGCGCCATCCATTCAAAGGTTATGGTCAATGTTAAAGTTTTTTTGCGGACAAACAGATTAGCAGGCAAACAGACAGACAGACGAACGGAAAATTAAAATCAATATGCCACCGAATGATTGATCAAGGGGCCATAAAAAAATAACACACGACTATCTCGTTATTACAATATAATTATCTCGTAATTACGAGGAAACTCGGAAAAGATCTCGTAATAACGAAAAAAGATTTCGTTAATACGAGAAAAAAATGTGATTATAGATTTGATAAATGGGAAAATATACCAGGTGAATAATTTTATCAAAATTTGTTAATCCTTTGTACTTCAAAACAAAGAAATTCTGCGGTAACCGAGGAAGTTAGAAAAGTTCGCGGACAAGTTCTATTGTGAGCGGGCTATTTGCATGAAAGCAGTAAAACTCTGCAGATAAAAATATACACATTTTCCAATTAATATGAAAAGATTTGGGGTTTTCCTATTATCTTTAAAAAAATTTTAGATAAAGCATGCTACACGGAGCATGCTACTTTTTTGGCACCTTTACATTACGGAGACATTTTTTAAATCAAAAATTGCACTGTTGTAGCACGTAAAGATTTTGATATTTCACCTGTCGCTAAAATATTCATGAATCGTCATTTGGCGAAAATTTGAACTAAATTGGAGTAGTAATGATTGTTTTATCGCTAATTATAGCTGATCGATGCGTAAAAACAAAGCAAATAGTGGTAACGCCATTGAACGTCTTGGAGCATCGAGCTATTTAGGAGAAGTTATGTGTGCAGACAGGAAAATGCCCGAAAGAGACTAAAATGTGTTTAGATGATGCTGGGGATTGCCTACACGCATCTAGTACCAAAGTGTTCAAGTGGTAGCAATTTTATAAGAATGGAAGGATTGACATTTTGGCTATCAACTTCTACGAATCCCCAACATTCTGCTTATCGCATGGACGTTGCGCCCATGGATTTTGCATTGTTTCTAATACCTGATTGCTGAACTGAACTTTTATAATACCATGGGTATGATTTTTTAGTAAAACGTTAATTCTGCGTTATTTTTTGGATTTTTTATTTGGAATACATTGTAAATGTGTACCAGAAGAATAATCTATGAAAAAAGGCATAAAAATATTTTTTGACCCGAGGGGGGGGGGGGGGTCCTGTCAACAAGTACCTGTGTCACAAACCGCCTTTAGACTCATTGAGTTCAGTCCCTCGAAGCCCCTTGACGTTTCTTCGTTCTTAAAAAAAATATTATACTTGCAAAATAATTAGCATAGTAAAACTGTATTTTGGTACATAGAGTTTGAATGAAGTCTTTTAATTTTGGTCTCTCTTATATACATTCTAACAATGTTTTTACATGAGTCGATCAACGCTTACTTAGTTTATTTTTAACAAATAATACATGACTGAAGCATACATCACTGAGGTGTTTCGGGTGGGTAGAGGTCCCTACCTCGGGGAGATCAATTTAGAATTTTAATTTCAAAGATCATTTTTATCTAGACTTCAAGTATTACATCTTTGTTCGTGCCTATCTAAGTACATGAAATTGTTTTAGGGAGACACTTGTCCCCATGGCCCGTTTTATTCGCCACTGATAGTAGAAAGTTGATAGAATGATTGCGTTTTCCAGATGGAAAATGCGTATATGATATAAAACGGCATAAAAAAAGAAAGGAGAAAAATCTTATAGCGATATATCATGGGACCATTTTGTATATATTATTTCGCACTTACGAGATATTTCTCTGGTAATTACGAGATATTTTCTCGTAATTAGCAGATATTTTCCCGTAATGTTGTGAAAAAATTATCTTAATTACAATTACGCAATCTTTCTTTGAAATAAAAAGATCTTTTCTCATGACTACGAGAAAATTATCTCGGAATACGAGATAGTTTTCTCGTAAATACGAGATAATTTTCTCGTAATTACCAGTAAGTTGGTTTTTTTTTTTTTTTTTTTTTTTTTTTTTTTTTTTTTTTTTTTTTTTTTTTTTTTTTTTTACATTATACTAATAGGCTTTCGTACTTTCCTATGTCATTGTGCAAATGACAAGCATTTTACAATTATTCTGCGATACTTGTATTTACCTATTATTTGGAAAACCCAAACTGCAAGCATAATAATTTTTTTAAATAAATTAATTCATTTAGTTTAACATTTAGTTAAAAATTGTTTTCGAACCATTACAGTGTATATTTTTTTCATGTAAGCAAAACTCAATTCCAGAGCCAAATACCATGCCACAAAAATACATGTACATGAATATGATATAAACTGTGGGCTTTGGAATATATCGTTTTCGATCCTGTAACATTCTATACGCATGTCTTAGTTATTGTTTTTCAGCAGCAATCTGGCAAAATGTTAATTTTTCTTGAATATTCAACTCATTGCCTTTACAATTTCACAAGCCACTGGGATAATATGGGTTAAACAGTAGATATGTGTTAGGTAAAGTTTTTTTTCTGGAATATGCATTCCATAATTCATAACTGGAATATATTCAAGCATGCTAATAGAATGAAGATGCATTCCATGAATTTATTTAACATTTTTATTTGCATAAACTGCAGTCTTATTCTGTGATTAAAAAATCAAAAACTTTCTAATCGAATCCTGCAATTATGCTTCAGAAAAATTCAATCACAAATATTAAACGGAACTTACTATGTCTCCTTCAAATCCATTTCCTTAGATATATAAAGCATCGCTGACAAAACAATGATTGCGCTATGCCATGTGGACGATGACATGTTTATTCAGAAATGTTAAGGAAAATCATATTTACTGTATATGGACGATAGACAGATTTTGATGACAAAAACATGCATATAAGCAAGTAACTATTAATATCAAACTCAGTGACAAACTTGGGTTACAATATTTTGTAGCTATGAGACTTTGGTGATCCTACAGAATCATGTTTTCCAGATTTTTTTGCGACAAAAAGATATTAATTTGAGAAAATCTTGCTTATGGTGGGAAGGCTACATTATTGCAGCGATATGATATACCGTTACCCTGTCTCACCAGAAAATCTTAATTACATGTGTGTACTTTCCTTATAAATTACATAATTCCTTCTTTACCTGAAACTAAGAAATTTAAAACGTAAAGATATTTTTAATACATGCACATATTGTTAAAAATCCAATCATAAAAAACCAGTTTTTCTTTCAACCCAAAATTAGAGAAAGCAATGCGGTTACCTCGCCATGACGTTTGCTCTGAGCCGCGTACAGCAGAATAAGAGTTTTAAATTCGTCCAGGGCGTGGTCAAACACATTGTGACCATGGACGATCAGCTGACTGAGGATCTGGAATTTCTCACATGCCTCAGCTTTATAGGACTCCGGCACGTTCAGACTGTCCATATTCTAAAATACAATACAGAAGGAATAGCATCTAGACTGTGTTGTATTACTACATAATAAATAATACGTGCATTTCAAATATAATACAGATATTTAGAACAAACTGACCCTGTCAAACAATTTGCATTATAAAGGCTGCATTATGCAAAGAAAGGATATTTCTTTTGGATTATGACTGTAAGTTTACGCTAAAATGCAGAAAAATTCCATTAATTTTGTTCTCGATATTTAGAACCAGTTTCATTTAATTTTTACGATGTACATGTATTTATCATAGGTGTGTACCCTGGACTCTCTCTGATATTCGAGGGCTCGGTCTTCCAGTTCTTTAAGCTGTTTGTAGCCTTCATTCCGTTTCGCCTTGTCTTCTTTTGATGTATCTAACAATATTTTGATATTCTGATACCTGCTTATGTAAGATCCTGGCTGACGACTCATCTACAAGTAAAATCAAATGACTTCATGATTTATTTCTGATATGCATAGATCTCACATGAATCTGGGATCAAACTTCAGTAAAGATTAAAGGAAAATAGAATCCCTGCGGATCCAGAATTTTTCATGGGATGAATAGTTGAATACTATATTGAAAACGGTTTTTCTCTAAGGGGATCCGCGTGTATTCTAAAACTTCGTTTTGCATTTTTAAGTTATTCACCGCAATTAAGGTAGCTCTAAACAAAAAAGTGCATTTTGGACTTTAGAAAAATACATAAAGGTGTACAAATTGAGACTAATTAATTCATTTTCAACATATGGTGCCTGCTTTATTTCCGCAGGAAAAATAATAACAAATGTGGACTACTCGTGAACAGATATCATTGTTGTTTACTTATATTTGGAATATAAATGGAAATAATGAATTCAATTACTTATTCTTAGTCTAAATTAATGATAAAAATGTTTTAATGTATTACAAATTGTGTAATTAACTGTAAATAGCAATTTTTCCATGTTACTTCTAAAGGGCAGATCACTCTAACTGCATAAATCTACCCTATAAATAGAACTCTTTAGTGTACAGTGTTTAGAGCTTCCTTAAAAATTTAAAATTCCTGAGGAGACGGATTGCAAGATCTTACCAACCAGTTTTTAATTATGGGAAAGAACGATTATGAGCATAAAAATCCTTACGTGTTTTATTTAATTATTCATTCGATAAGTAATAATATTTTTGCATTAAAACATCTCTCTAACCCATCCATAAATGTTTCAAAATATTACATGCCCCAATAAAAACTACAAAGCTACTGACTGTGACGGCACATATTGACGCCCAAGCACTTTTTGTCGCTGGCGACATTATTTATGTAGAAAATTGCACTATACACATATTGTCGTCCATTCGGCAAATATTGTTGTCGACGACAATATATGCCGCAAAAACGCCTTTTATTCCTCTGCAAAATGGTTAACAATATTTGCAGTACAAATTTACTCATATAGATCGCCAGCGACAATATGTGCAGGGGCGACAATATGTGCCGTCACAACTACTAATTTACCCATTCCTGTAGTTCCATTTGTCGTTAATAATTATCTCACATCTATATCCTTAAATTGCCTTTTGCTCTCGGAATGGTTTTTATCATACAAAATGAGGAAGAAGGAAATTTTCATGAATGTTTTAAAGCTCTATGTAATAAATAAAAATATATGTGTACCACATGTAACCAGGAAATCCATTAGCGATGGCTTCCAAACAGAAAAGGGGGGTAATTATTTGAAAAACACCTACATAAATGATTTATACAAAGAAATATTGATGGAAACGTCAATTTTGGCTGTTGCATAATAGTTGAGACATATGAATGCATGTGTATACTGAATAAAGGCATGAGAAGGGAAAAACAGCTGTGCAATTAATAGAATGCCAAAAATTTGATGTACAATAGTACTTACGTAAACCTATCAAATTTATTTCAAAATGCATATTGCAGGAAATGGGCTTTCTGCACATAATCTGAATATTGAACCTGATAGATGTGTTAACGAGCTTAGGAAATATAGATTTTGTGAAATGTGTTCAAAAAATGTGATTGAAGATGAATTTCATGTTATACTAGATTGTCTTCTTTTACCCTGACCTCAGATTGAAGGACTATAGTATTTGGAAAAATTTACTATAAGAAACCTAGTGTTTGGAAATTCCAACTTTTAAGCGTATAAAATGTAAAGGAACTTCTTGGAAGTTATTTATGCCAAGCCCCCATTGGGCAAATGAATTATTGCAATTTTAAAAGTTTCAAAATAACAATTACTAGCTGATATAACATGTTCTATGTACCTGCTAATTAGTTACTTATTTATTATGCTCATTCTAAAATTACCATACCCTGTAATACTTATACTGTAAATATTTAGAAATTACATATAATTTGTACTCTTGAGTGTCGTATGGCACAAAGAAATAATTTGAACTTGAGGAAAAAAAATGCTCTCTCCGTGATTTCACTCTTGTACCGTGTCGGCACTAGCCTTTTATTAATTAATAATCTTAACTTAATTAGTAATACATACATAATGCAGACTATATGTAATTAAATACTTTGTACAACACTGATCAGCAAAATGTGTCGGCTCATCCTCGATCGTTATCAAGCTAAATTATTTCATGCTGTGAACCAAGTTATTTTTTTAATCCCAAAAATGTGATTTTTGGTTATAGCTTTGTACACGGACACTGGAAGTTATTGTAAATGTATAGTGCGCGCATGTATAAAACCTCCAGTATCCGTGGTTTTGTATACATTGCAAGTTTTAATACGCATAAAATGTAAAAGTGCACATATGCATAACAAATGCAAAAAAATCTGGACATCGCTTTTCAAACCTTGAGTTTCTTTATTTTTTCCCAACTATTAGATTTTTTCTCTGTTACTACCCACTAACGAAGTACATTTCCTATCCAAAAAATAAAATCCTTGATAAGTCGGTCTTTTGACTTTTTTTCATTGAATGTGAACAGTCTTTATTTAATAAGCAATACTGAACTCGGTGGAATAGCAGTTTAGAGTTCGAATTTTATAGTGGCCATGCATGCAAAATGTACGTGCGATGCACTTTCAGTATATGCGTACAATATACTGGCTAGCTGTTTAAAAGATTGCAGATGAAGTAACTGTTCATTGTTTTCTCATTGATAGACAAGCACTTTGTAATGACCTATTTCACAGCTAATCTATTTGTACATAAGATAATAAGTACAAGTCCTGAATTTTCTTATTCAATGCTAAATTCCAAGTCATTTTTTTACAGTAGTATTCATAAGTAATAATATATATGCTGCTTAAAACATCTCTCTCTCTCTCTGTACGTTTTATCTGTTTTAATTTAATCGTTGACCTACTTAAATTTAACATTTAAAATGCACAACAAGGAAAAATAGTACGTAGCAGTTAAAATACATTTCGGATAAACCTTCTGAGCAAGTATCAAAACAAGTTTGCAAAGTTACCCCTTTTACTCATGGTAAATAACTGCATTTCCTTCACCGCTTGTATTTTTCCAAAAACAGTCCATGTCTGTATAGCTGACATGTATGTATGTTTTTATATTTCGTTTATTTAAAAAAAAATGAAATTCCACATGATGAGGAACTAAGATGATTTCCTACGTTGACAAAAAAATATGGATATATTTATATCAAATTAGATAGAATATTCTATCGTTAAAATGATATTGTCTTACGGACCCGGTTTGTGGCGAGGGCTTGACCAGTGAATACAGATTGTTCCATCAAATGTACATGCATGCATGTGAACCAGATTTTGAAAGTGGCCTAAACTCAGTTAATGTAAATATAGAGTATGTGCATGTATACATATTTTTTAAATACATGTATATGTTTACATTAACTTCAAGTGCCCGTAAACTCGTTCAAATCATTTATAACGAACACAAATATTTCTACTTTCGGTTTAGATATGCTCTATGTTTGCATCTTAGTGACAATTATTTACATCAAACAAGTAAAACAGATATTTCATTTTTTTTCTATTTTAAATGCACAACTGCCCAATCTTGCTGTTCTTTGCAAACTATCTTACCCTGCCTCTTGGATGAGCTCTGTATTCCTTTGAAGTTCCGTCGAGCAAAACTTTTGTTTACGTAGAAGTAGGTGAAGGTCACATATTCTCGTGGGATTGAGAATGGGTTGCATGAATTCAATGTTGACATATCATGAACCTGGACAATAGAAGTTAATTATTTTTTACGTATTTTTTGGGGGAAAATTAAGATAGGAAATTAGATTAAAAAAACCCATATCACTCTCTCTCTCTCTATCACGACCCCCGGGGGTAGGGCGGGGCCAGAACAGGGGTCAAAGTTTTACATAGGAATATATAGGATAAATCTTTAAAAATCTTCTTCTCAAGAATATAGCAAAGTCATTATTAGTCATGTAATATGGAAGCATCCTCAGGTAATGTAGATTAAAGATTGTTCAAATCATGACCCTGGGGGTAGGGCGGGGTCAACAGGATTCAAAGTTATACATTATAATATATAGGAAAGACCTTTTTTTTTAAAAAAAAATTCTCAACACCGGCAAAGCCATGTTTAGTTCTATTAATATAGAAGGATCTTCATGTAGTGTAGATTCAAGTTTGTCTAAATCATGAATTCATGACTCTCTGGAGGAAGGGCGGGGCCACAACAGGAGATCAAAGTTTTACATAGGAATATATAAGACAAATCTTTTTCTCAAGAACAGCAAAACCATGAATAGTCATATTAATACAGAAACATCCTCATGTAGTGTGGATTCAAGTTTGTTCAAATCTTGATCCCTGGGGGTAGGGCGGGGCCACAACAGGGGATCGAAGTTTAACATGATTAATAGATAAGAAGAGTGAGCATGCGAGGTTAAGGAGAAGACTACCTAATTTATAAATCTTGTGTCTTATTATTTTGTCAATAAAATATTTTCGATTCAAATCAATTCAAAGTTTTACACAGGAAATTATATATAGGAAATATCCTAAAAACAAACCCTCGCAAGAACAGCAAAGCTATGATAAGTCATATTAATACAGAAGCATCCTCAGGTAGTGTAGATTCAAGACTGTTCGAATCATGCCCCCTGTCGGAAAGGTGGGACCACACCAGGGAATAGGAAAGTGATCAAAGTTTTACATAAGAATATGTAGGAAAAAGAATCTGTCGATGAAGAAGAAGGGCCATAGTTGTTCAGGTGAGCATTGTGGTCCCTGGATCTCTTGTTTAAAAAGCATCTATTCAAGAACCACTGGGCCAGAAAAGATGAAAGTTATGTGAAAGCTCAAGTTTGTTCATATCATGACCCCCGGGGGGAGGGCGGGGCCACAACAGGGGATCAAAGTTTTACATAGGAATATATCGGAAAAAATCTTTTGAAATTTTTAAAATCTTCTTCTCAAGAATAGCAAAACTATTATTAAATGTAATCATATTGATATAGAAGCATCCTCAGGTTGTGTAGATTCAAATTTGTTCATATCATGATCCTCGGGGGTAGGATGGGGCCACAACAGGGGGATAATTTTTTTTACTTAGGAATATATAAGAAATTAAGAACAGTTAATTAATAGTCATATTAATACAGAAGCATCCTCGTGTAATGTAGATTCAAGTTTGTTCAAATCATGACCACCGGGGGTAGGGTGGGGCTACAACAGGGGATCAAAGTTATGCATAGACATATATATATATATATGAAATATCTTTTAAAATCTTCTTCTCAAGAACAGCAAAGCCATGATTTGTCATATTTTATGGAACTATCTGCAGGTAGTGTAGATTCAAATTTGTTCAAGTCATGACCCCCCCCCCCCCCGGGGGGTAGGGTGGGTCTATAATAAAGTTTTACATAAGAAAATGTATGAAAAAGAATGCTGATGAAGAACTTAAGGGTCATACTTACTCGGGTGAGCGTTGTGACCCGTGGGCCTCGTATTACTGATGGTATGAACTTTGTTTGCTGCTGAAAAACACTCTAAGATGTTGGCGGTCTTGCCTAATGATCGTTATAGAAAACTCAATCTGGATTCACTGACTAAAGTATGACGTGAATCGAAGTTTTCAGCTTATAATTGGATCAATATTATAATTGTTTAAAAACATTTTTTCATAGATAAATAAATCTCCATTCTCTAATTTAAGTCATTACTTTAGCATGGAGAATTTTTATACAAGAAGAAGTATGTTTAAAACGTGAAATACCTGTACTTAGTCGGGCAAAATTACGGACTGTTCCCTTTAAATGCACATTGTTTGTAGCACAAATGGGATCTCATAGATTTACATTTTGCTGCATATATGGTATACCGAACAACAGTTAAGGTAAGTGAAATGCTTGTAATTTTCAGTTCAACCCTCAGACTCGCTACAAGGCATGTACATACGCAGGGCTAAAACTGACACAAAAAATACATAAAGTACGGCTATATCTCTCTATATATAACGTATGCTTTGCATGTTGTGAATACCAAAAGCTGTCGAGATAACCGGTTTTAGGTAAGTAAATATATAATGACAAAAAGCTTTTACTATAGGACATGAGTATTAGCAAGGGATGCCGGATCTTTTCTTTTTAAATCAACACTGTTAAAGAAAAACTAAATTATGAAACATGCATCTACACACTAATTTCACTAGATAACTTTCACTTTATGTTGAAACATAACATAATATTAGTAAATGGTGGGTAGATTAAGGGGCCGTATACACTGAATGCTAACAAGATTCCCAGTACAATTTTTCAGTCCAGTATTACCTCTAGGTCCTAGGTCCCCCTCTTAAAACTTTTTAATCCGTTTACCCCCCCCCCCCGTGATAAATAAATACTTACAACATGTAGTATACCTTGATGATTATTAGAAAGCAAAACGATCAATCCAATACAGTGTAAAAATTATTATAAAGAATGTACATGATTATGAATTATTTTAATTTATATAATTTTTTATGCATTGCAGCATCGTGTTTATTAAAACGTATCAGCGAAATGTAAATCTCCCTCCCTCTCTCTCTATTACATGTACGTGCATTCATTGTGACATGAATAAAATGAAGGTATGTAGCATCGTTTTTCAATTGAAATTGAATTGAAATTTTTTGTCCAAAAAAAAAAGAGAAAAGGAAAAATACCTAGGAGGGGGGGGGGGCTTTCTCTTTCGGAGAATTAAGGAAAAATTGAAATGCAAGACTGTGGAAGGAATTGATCATACTGCAACAACAACAAACATGGGCGAGGGGGGGGGGGGGCTTTTTTAAAATGAAATTTTCCATTGTGGCAATTTTGGTTGAAATTGGTTCAGTGGTTCTGGACAAGAATATGAAACGTGATCGAAAAGTTTACAACAACGACGACAGACAACTGACAAATTTCGATCAGAAAAACTCACTTGAGTCTTCAGCTCATATAAATATATAAGTGTCTGTTTGGTTTGGACTGAGACCATTCCACCATTTCTAATGCACACTTTCTCATTAGATTAATAACATTTTCATAACCGTGTCTAAAAGTGTTACTTATTCCACCATTTTATAAGTTTTGCAATTTGGGTGAGAGGGCGTATTGATTCATACCGCATAAACCTGTTTTTTGAGCAATCAAAACGTAGTGTTTCTTTCGCTTTCAGGTATGTTAGCACAGAAAATGTAAACGAAAGTTCGAGTCGACAACCTCTTTTACCTACGTAAAATTAATTGCTATGTTCGTAACTTCCTACCTCTAACAAGCCAGAATGTCTTCAAATCTTCATACCGAACAGATACGCAACCTGGAAGATCTAGTGCAAAGAGTAAGCAAGGATCTTTCACTTTCGCAGGATTGCAAGAGGAAAGCCCAGGAACAATATAAAATACTGAAATCAGTAAGTAAATATATACTATTCCTAAAACAGAAAACCTCCAAATGGCTACATTTTCGATGTAATGAATTCTAAAATGACAATTTTCTGTGTAGTTATAAAAAAAAGACTTACGGACGGACAAACCAGAAGATGGATGGATCATCTATACTGTAGATGATCCTAATTTGACAGAAATCCCTAAAGAATCTGATCAAGTAGCAAGCACGTGGGAAACACTTTCATTTGGGAGGGGGGGGGGGTGTCACAATCAAACACTTTCAGTTTGGGTGGGCACTACCACGCAAAAATTCCTTGACAAACAAAAACAAAGGAGGGGGGTCATCAAACGTAATTATTGAAGAGACACATCCATAAAGAAGCTTTGTTTTCTAAAGTATACTATATGTATATATCAACAAAATTATTCAGAGGGCAGTCCCCCCCCCCCTCCCCGGTTCCTACGGTCATGAGCAGTTCCCACAAATACAACCAACCGGTATTTATCTATACATATGTAATTAAGTTTACAATTAATATTTAAGACAGCTAACTGGCCTACATTTGCAAATCTGCTCAACAATGTCCTTTTCACATTTTGTGCCAGTTTTTCGAGGTCATCGATAGGAAGTACATACATGAATGTTTTTATGAGATTCGATCCATGTTGAAAAATATTTACAGATCTAACCTATTTTGAGGATTTATTGCAGTGTCACTACATTTTCTCTTCCTCCGAGCTAGATGAGGAAGTTTTGGCTCGGTTTGTCCGTCTGCATGTTAGAATTACACAATAAACTATGATTACATACATGAAAAAAGTTTAATAGGGGATAGTAACTTAACGCATCTGAAAGTCTTTGTAAGCTGGGAATGAATTGTTTAATCTATAGTTTATGTAAAGTACTTTTCCTATGTATTTTAGCTAAAAAAAATGTTTAAATGGACTGATGGATAATTAATACATTTATAGATATTTTGATAATCTAGCTTCCATAATATTAATTTTAGAACGGTGCACCAAGGTTAAAGGAAGCGTATAAGGAACTAGAGGATGTTGTTAAAAAGGCTGAAAACTATGACATCGCTGGTTTTAGAGAAGCACGTGTAGAGTTTGAGAGTTTGCTGCAAAACAGACTTGGTCAAGAGCAACAAGAGGGACCCAAAGTAAGATTATTTTGATTGTGTGTGTTTGCTAGTCTTTGAACCAGATGGCATTTCAACAGTTGAGGAGGGGTGGATCTACCCCGAACATTTCATCAAGCTCGGTTTGGTCAGACAAATCAAATTTGTGCTCGACAATAAAATGAAGCATCTAGATTAACTGCAATGATAAAGTTGTATTGAATTATTACGGCTAAAAATCAGTGTTAAGCTTTATACTTTATTGCATACAGAAGTATTTTCCTATACAATTACCTACAATTATTGAATTAAAGAGTAATTGATGACAGTGATCATTCTGAAAGCTTTCTCATTAATATAGACTATATTTTAGACTTTCGCTCAAACTTTACCGTTGGGACATTCAGCACAGAAGCAAGAGTTTTCAAAGACCTTTAAAGGACCAGTGAGTACCAAGTCTGCAGACGACAATCACCAGAAGAGATCAAGTTCTCCTGCTCGAGCAGACGGCACGATCACAGTGTCTGCTCTAGAGTATAAACGATTGGTGGAATCTGAGAAGATGAACAAGGCAAAAGTAGAAGAACTGACAACAAGGTATGATGACTAAAAGCGACATCTTTCTTCACTAAGCTTTGTTTCTGACTTGCCCTTCTCTTGATAAAGAAGAGAAACAGATAAAACTCCAGCGTAGCAAAAATGAAAATAATTAAACATTTAAAAAAATAGTTAATCATGGCCTGCATTAGTCAATCATGCCCATCCTTAGAACATTACTGATGAAGCGCAAAGTGCCACAATTATTTAAAACGTTTCGATGATCTACTACATGATCTACTAGATAATAATGGGTACTTTGTATAAATCATAAACTTAATTTGTAATGGGAAGGGACAGATAAGTGGGAGGTTAGAAAAAGGGAAGGGTAGGTGGGAGAAGAAAAAGGGGGGGGGGGGTAAAGGGGAAAGAATGGGAAAGGAAAAATGTAGATAGGAGAAGAAAAGCTAAGAATAGAGGATGGTCCAAAAATATCTCCTTATCAAACTTCAATACAAATCATATTGCAAATTCTCTATACAATATGAAGAGTAATGACTCTGAAGGACTTATTGTTTCAGACTGAGTAGTTATGTCAGTAAACAGCTTAAGGATGGTAACCCGAATATAGCTGATTTAAGTGACAAGAATCGTCCGACAAAACTTGGAGAGAAGTTCGAACAGTTGTATGACAATGAATGGTCGGATGCGTACGAAATTCTGAAAAGTACCATTAAGGATGAAGATAAAGTCGTCAAGACCTTGGTCGATATTACGCAGGTATAACGATTCCCCATATCCGCTCATATCATGTTAAATTTGATGCTAATGTAATGATCATTATGACATATTTGGTATTGAAGTTAAAACTGATGCTAATGTAACAAAAATTACAACGATTATGGTTATGGTGAATTCGTGTTTTTGAAAAATGAAGTCATATTTCATATTCTGATTTCATAATTAAAGTAGAACAAACAAAATTTGAAATATAACATTTAATTTATATATAACGAACAGTGGATATCAATCACCAAGCGGTTTTTGTTAAAACATCCGGACAGTAAGAACTGATGACTTTGTGATTTTAGTATTTACGTAATGTTAACATTCTTTACTGTCCAATTCAAATATGGGAGTTAAGTGTAGATTCAAATTTCCTCACATCTCTGTTCTGTCCTAAATGTTACTGTGGCAGGTGACGACAGTTCCCGAGAGCAGTGCAATCTTAACTTCACATATTTTATTGAAAGAAAAAGAAAATATGTACCTTTCCTCATGTATAAGAATCTTACATTTAGGGGCACTGCTAAATTTGTTATTTTCATGTTTATCGATAACAGACATGTACATATTAAATATATTTTCTTTTCAAGAAAGTGCACGAGTTTTGTTGCAACTTTGCTCCACAACAAATTGAAAGGTTGGAGTCATATTTTATGAATCCGATGCAGGACATTAAATGTAAAGTTCAAAGTGACCAAGGGGCAAGTATTTGAAGTGTAAAACTTGTATCAATATTTATGTAGTAAATACAATACCCATTGAATGTATAGATTTTGAAAGGAAATAATTTTCTCTGTGAAATGTTGTGAATATTAAGCTTCCCTAAAAAAAAATTCAACGACTTATTCAACTATATTCACCTGCTTTTATCAACTTTTGAAGGATTACGTCTTGCACGTTCATAGAAATTCTGAGGATAATACAGCATTTTTTGAGCTGTCAAAGTATATGAAAGACTGTAGAAAGTCTTGTGCAACAGCATCGATCCCTGCTTTGCAAGTGGTGAGCATACTTTGCCAATTATAACACACTTTTAATGTCCTCAGATTATTGATTTTTTTCTTTCACATTTTTCAAGTTTATGAGTAACGTGATCAAGTTTAAACTTTAAATATTACATGTTATGTTTTTTTTTCTGTAGATGTTTAAAGATTTTATTTACAAAGAACACTTCCCCAACAAAAAACCAGAAATTCCACTAGAAATCTTCATAGACAAGTGTGTAGAATTCATTTGGCTAATGTCTGTTCAGGACCCCCCTATGGATTTAAGGTACCCCATCATGGGGGAAAAGTTTGACACTTCCTCTTTTAAACACTTCAGGAAGAAAGGAACCATAGTCCAGCAGTGTGTTTGGCCAGCAGTGTATCTACACAAGGATGGACCCGTTGTTTCCAAGGGCTTTGCCCTTCCTCAATAATTCTTTCAGTTTTTTGCATTTTAACATTATAAAAAAAATAGCACTGTTTCCAAGGTCTTCAAAGATTCATGGATGAAATCCACATATTTTTGCCTTTTAAGTTTGGCAAACGAACTACATTTCACAGGCATTTAATTTCAAAATAAAAGAAAAAAACTTAAGTGTTGTCATTTTTGCTTTAATTTAATCTCTTCTAAAAGTTCTATAAATAATTTTTTCAACACTGTGGGATTTCCCTTCTTCTGAGTTGAGTCCATTGCTCTTGACACTAAAAAGTGCATTGCTCTGTCCTGCTTTCCTTTGCAGTATTTTTTCACCTGTGACATAATAACAAGCAAATACAATATATTTCACTGACTAGAAATAATAAACCATTGAACTCCAGTATCTTGAACATTGATTGAATATTCTAAGGACATGTAAAAGACAGTTGATGGTCCAAATCTTACTATTTCTTGTTTCAAACCAGATACCTTGAACACTAAGGTTCTTGAAGAGTTCCACCATATCTGAGATCAAAATTCCACAATATGAGTCAAAGAATGTTTCTATTCTTGGTATTAAGGAAGTACAGTCTAACCTCGTTATCTTGAACTCTAGGGGACTAAGACAATGAATATAGACAATCCCCTTATCTCTAACTTAATGGGGTCAAAAAAAAAAAAAACTTCAAAAAAAAAAAGAAAAGAAAAGTCAAATGACTTCCAATTTACTTTGACATATCTATGGTATTCAAGATATCAATGTTCGAAATACCAAAGTTCATCTGTATAATCTCATCAGTTTTACGCTTCAGTATGCATTTCATTTGGAGAATTACTTGCTAAGAAATAAAGCATCTCACACAAACCTGATTGGGATTTTCCTCTATGAGTTTGATACAGACAGGTCTGAGGCTTTCCACATCTACAATCTGCTGCCAACCATTCTTGTCCACTATATTTTTAGGTCTGTCAGTTGTAGATTGGTGTAGAAACATTTCCACTAACTTAAAAAGAATTATAGGGACCTTCAGTTAGATAGATGACATAGATATAAATCATGATTACATCTGTAGAGCATGCAGTCACAGGACATGTTAACTTCATTGGATGTTTCAATTTAGTGCAACTGTATGTACACTGTACATGTAAATCTTGTTTGTATTAAAGTTTCAAAACTTGTCATAATAGTCATAATAAAGATATGTAAGACACATGCCTGTACTTCAAAACATGTGCAAAATCTTAATTTGAGTAATGTATACAGGTATGTAAAATGAGAATTTATTTAAACATCAATAAAAAGATCTGGCTGGATATTTGGACTGATGCCTTAATCAGTGAAAGTGACAGTCTAAATATCCAGCCAAAGCAAATCTCATCTCAGATTACACTAAAACTGAAATTACCTGAAGGCAATGTGACTTTGTTGTATATCCACTTTTCTTTAGATCAACAATTTCAGCTATGATATCAGGTGAAATTGGACTTATAAAAAAAGATATTTTTTTATCAAACATTAAAATAATGAATAAGTACTGTGCAACATTGAAGGCTGAAGTTTCCTATTTGTAGTAATTTCATAGATTTCTGAATTCATTATTCGAATTCTAATTACATGCACCTACCTTCTTCTTATCTTTTTATCATGTTCATTGTAGATGCCTAATAAATCATTGACCATGAATTTTGCAATGAAGTTTGGTGGACTTTTTGAACAATTCACAACCTCATAGAAAAATTCAACACCTTTATCTTCATTCTACAAAAAATGAAATAATGTCCTACATTTTTTTTTTAAGTTCACTTGTGGAAGACAAATAATAAAAATAGAACTTGAACACACTTTATAGAATTAAATCTAATTACCACAAGTACATAGACATCTCTAAGCGCAACATTCAACTCATTGGTCAACTTTTCTCTAACATCTCTGGGTAGAGGAGGCATTTTCTGAATCTCTTCGTCGATGTTAGTTACATTTGTCTGTGATGATTCAGCTATGGATGCATTGTCATATAAATAAAGGGGAGGCAAATTGGGCTCCGGCATGAATCGATAATCCTGCAGTCGCTCTTTGTCTCTCATTGGAATCGTCTTCCTAAAATCAAAAACATTTCATCATTATTATCTATTTTAAATGATTGTTTTTGACAAAATCTTTATTTCAAAGAACCAAGTAACCTTACTACTTAGAGTGAGTGGCCTTACCCAGACTCTGAATCAAATGTCCGAGTTTCATTAATTACCGTTCCACCATTTTTTACCAAATTTTTTTGTCTATTTACTTCATAATCTACAAAATAAGAAAAAATAACTGATGTGCACTTTTTTCTTACCCTCTAAAACGAATGAAAGAAAAGAAAAGAAACAATGGCCATTTACAGAACCCACATATCACAGTATCAAAATCAGAAATTCTTAAACTGAAATTAGAAATAATCCTAATGTTTGATTAATATAATGATAAAGTGCTCTTCAGATAAAGACTTATTCAGAATACTATGGGACATAATAATTATTAAAGTACCACAAAAGGTTGGTATTTTAAGTTGATATCCACTCACCTACAGCATTTTTAAGATCCTTGAGACTACCCAGATTCTTAACTTCAGACCTAACCCCCAGTGGCTCTCCTGGACGGTGAACTGATATATTGGCATCCACTCGCAAGGCACCCTCTGTAACAAAAGGACAAGTCAACATACAATTCTATGTTGAGATTTTCGAAATAAATTCTTCATTTATTTAATAAAAACTAGTTTCATTAAACTGACCTCTGAAACTGCCAAGACAGACTTTAAGTTGTCTCATCATCAGCTGGACTTCTCTTACAAAGGAACTACAATCAATTCCATTTACAAAATCAGGTTCTGTAACTATCTCCATTAATCCAATTCCTGAAAATCAGAAGATTATAGCCCAAGAATATCATTATATTGTACAACAGAAACTTTAACATTTTTTATGAAAAGCTTTAAAACTCTGCATGTAAACATATAAATGCAATTTGATTGGCTGAAGTTTTTTTAAAATAGTTATAACTTTCTTAGTTTTCAACAAAACAAGACAAATTTTACAAAGCAGGAAAGTAAAATGTGTCCATACATTGTGTTATTACAGTAAAATATGCTTATAGTGAAGTTCCAGGAATGAACAAACAAATGTGATTCATTATAAACATAATTTATTATTTTGTTCACAATATGTTTTAAAATCACAGAAAATGAAAATTATTTTGCTTTAAGTGTGAATTCATTATAAGCTTATTTGCTATAACTACACTTTAATGTTTGTATGTGTTCTGAATTCTAATATAAGCTTTAACACAGAGATAGCCTTTACAGCCTAAAATATGCCATAGAATATTTTTTTTCATTTGACTTAACTATTATGTTTTTTCCTTTCTATGGTACATTATCTTTGATCTACTTCTAGTCTATATGCCCTCACCTGCTCTGTTGAGGTCAATCAAACTTTGCCCTCCCTCCTCATCATGCAGGCTCCGCCCACTGTCTTGTTCCAGCTGTAACTGGGTGATCCTGGCTGTTTTAATGATGTATCTGTTTTTCTCATCAATCAAAATATACTCAACTTCCCCTCCAACAGCCAATGGCTGTCTTTGTTGTGTTATTTGGTAGCCTTGCTAACCAAGGTTAAAAACCAAGATATTAATGAAAAAAAAATGTGGAATCCATACAATGTAGACAATGACTGCTGTTAAAGTTTCATAAAACATTAGAATTGAGAGTGTGAAGGACATATCACTAATGTTATAAGGGCTTAATTGACCTTTTTTGGTATAGGGTCCTGTATCCTTTTAATTGGGAATTTTAAATTGACCTGAATGCAAGGGTTACTAAGTCCTGGTTATACTTACTGGAAGATCTGCATAGAAGTAATGCTTTCTGTCAAACTTGGATATTTTGTTTATTTTGCTTTTCAAAGCAATTGCTGTTTTCACACCAGCTCTTACACACTCACTATTTAATACCTGTAACAACATAAAAGACATTGTTTTGATCACAGAGACTATCAGAATGAGTATACATGAAACCAACTTCCATTTCAGCTATTTAATTTATTTTGATTCTTTTTTTATTTAACAAATATGTGAAGACTTTCTCAAATTCCATAAATTCACAGACCACAGATACTGAGCATGTGTTAACCATTCAGGATAATTGCACATTACATAAAAGAAATTTGATGCAGTACTAGGCCTATATACAACTGACATTGGTACCATGCAAGCATAGATATCCGTTAGTTGCTTAAACAGGTTGGGACCAATCGCCCAAATGGGATATAATAGCTCAATTGGGATATGATATCCCAAATGATATATAAATTTACAATGCAAAAAATGAAAATTTTTATCTTGGCTATAAATATCATAAATCTGCATCAAGATACTTATAAAGGAATAACTTTTGGTTAACAAGTTTTTCTGTATGACCACTGTTTAAGAGATTGATCCCTCGGAAGTTCGTAAACTTCTTGGGCATCAATCTAACAACCCATAGGGTTGCAGAAAAACTTGCTTGTTTTAAAGTATTTTATATGATATTTATAGCCAAAATAAAAATTTTCATATTTCTGTACTGTAAATTTATATCCCATTTGGGATATTATATCCCAGACGGGTTATTCTATCCCATTTGGGCGACTGTTCCCAACCTGTTAAAGATGAAAAGAAGTTGGTATTTGCACTAAATTTTTCACTTAATAATTTCTTATTAGAATTTGTCAAACAATTTTTTTTGGCAACATGTCACATCACCATACAAAAAAAAAAAGATTTACTGGTAGTGTTCCTGGCAGTGCAGCATCAAATATCGATACTTGTGAGTTCGTAGGGGCTCCGAAAGCAGTAGAGGAGGCTGAAAATAGTTTACTGTTGGTGTTGATCTGTGCATGGATTTCTAAACCGATCACACCTTTCAAGTTTTCTTGAGTGCTGCTTTGTCTTAAAAATAAAATACAAGTAATTACAAATAAAATTGGGCCATACAAGTTTCATCAACTTGTGAATCATGAAAATTACTTAAGTGTTGTGTCAATTTAATTTTACCATTTGGTATAATGTGAATTCTATACCTGCAGTGTTTGTACAGATGAGTATGCTTTGGACTTCTTTTGATTGTTGAATAAATAGCACAAGACCTCAGCGTGCAAATTTTCATGGGCGCAGCCATATTGAATGAAAATTAATAATTCTTACATAAATGTATTCGTATTCGTAATAATAGCGAAACTATCATTTCGGATTATATTGACTAATCAGTGGAATATAAAATGTGACACAGTTGTGAAAGAATCAAATATGCTGCTCTTTTATTAAATTAGACTGAGAAAATAGTGTAAAATCTTCCAATAAATTTGTAGAAGTTATCTCCCTTAACTTTCACGCTCTTTCATGTTTGCGTCATCAACTCATATTTCTCTCGAGGTATAATATGTATGCTGTTTTGGATCTCGTAACCAGCCTCTATAACCAGGCAGAGCGCATGCGTGAAATAAATTTCCATCGAGATCGGAAAACAGCAGAGAGGAAATTCGGAATATATAATGGAAACTAGTAATGCGGAATGATACTATAGTCAGATGCAGAAATTTTTGCATAATTCGATCAACTTTTATTTAAAAAAGCAGAAGAATAAATGAATCAACTTTACAGTTAGTTTTTATTTATTTATTTATTTAATTAATTATTAATTTATTTATTTATTTAATTTATTTATTTATCATTCTTATAATTAATTGACTAAGTAACTGATTTATTTATTAAAAAATATATATTTGTATTTTTTTTAATTCATTTATAACATTCTTTCCTTCATTTATTAATTATTCCATCCATTAATTAATTATCTATTAATTAATTCATTGATTTATTAATTTGTATGCATGTTTGTTTATTTATTTATTTATTTATTTATTTATTATTCTAATAATTAAGTAATTGATTAATTTATTAAGAAGTTCATTTATTTGTTTGTTTATCTATTTATTATATTCATTCCTTCATTTATTTCGTATTCTATTTATTTATTTATTATTTATCTATTTATTTATGCATTCATTTATTCGTATTTTTATTTATTTCTTTATTTTTTATTTCTTTATTGATTGATTGATTTATTTTTGCATTTATTTATTGATTTTTTTATGCATTTATCATTTATTTCTTTTATAAATTAATTATTTTTACAGGGTTTGTATACTTATTACCAGGGTCTGTTTATGTATTGCCATAGTTTGTATACCTATCACCAGGGTCTGTATACCTATCACCAGGGTCTGTATACTTATCACCAGGGTCTATGTACCTATCACCAGGGTCTATATACCCATCACCAGGGTCTGTATACCCATCACCAGGGTCTGTATACCCATCCCCAGGGTCTATAAACCTATCACCAGGGTCTATATACCCATCACCAGGGTCTGTATACCTATCACCAGGGTCCGTATACCTATCACCAGGGTCTGTATTATCTATCACCAGGGTCTGTATACCCATCACCAGGGTCTGTATATCCATCACCAGGGACTGTATTATCTATCACCAGGGTCTATGTACCTATCACCAGGGTCTATATACCCATCACCAGGGTCTGTATACCCATCACCAGGGTCTGTATACCCATCCCCAGGGTCTATAAACCTATCACCAGGGTCTATATACCCATCACCAGGGTCTGTATACCTATCACCAGGGTCCGTATACCTATCACCAGGGTCTGTATTATCTATCACCAGGGTCTGTATACCCATCACCAGGGTCTGTATATCCATCACCAGGGACTGTATTATCTATCACCAGGGTCTGTATATCTATCACCAGGGTCTATAAACCTATCACCAAGGTCTGTATACCAATCACCAGGGTCTGTATACTTATCACCAGGGTCTATGTACCTATCACCAGGGTCTGTATACCTATCACCAGGGTGTGTATGCCCATCACCAGAGTCTATATACCCTTCATCACGGTTTTTTCTTCCCTCGTGCAGGGTCTAGTTCCCATCTTTTTAGTAGGGTGACCTTCAACATAGTTTGCATTATGAAAATGAATCCAATTACTTTTTAGGGTGTCTTCATAAACGTAACATCTTGTGGAGAACGTATGAGTTGTTTAATGAACTATAATGATTTTATTGTGATTAAGATGCATTGACTCTAATGTTATATTGATCTTATTTACTTTTTATTTTGTAGTGTAAGCCTGTCAAGGAGGAAGCAAAGGATATAGAAACTTATAACAATGGACAAAGATTTATAATTGTGTGAAACTATCTTTACATTGTAAATGCCAATGTATCCTGATTCCTCTATTGCATAAATCGAGAGAAATCTAAAAATTCCATTATGTTGTTTACTTGTTCCAGAAAAAATGTGAAGATATACATATCTACATAATTAATCAATAAAGTGTGAAATTTTAAAAATTATCATAAAAGAAGAGCAACCAACACAAAGTTCAAATTTCTTCTATGTTCATGACAGTAGAACAGTAGGATAATAGTGCCAAAATTTGTGTTCTACAAACCCTAATTGTCATGTTGTCAAGAAGGAGACCCAGTGTATTTTCACTGCATGGAAATGATATGGAATGTCTTTAATCGTTTTTTGTTGTTTTTTTTTCTTTTTGGTTGGGATGCAATCGTCTATGGCATATTGTGACTGTCGTGGCGGCTCATCATATTTAAAATTATTATATATTTTTAAAGTGGGATGTTCTGTTTAAAAGCTTAGGACCAAGGATCGAGTTATGATTTGAAAGTCGATCAAACTTCAATGTCAAGTTTATGAGGTTAAAAATCAAAGTATATTTGGAAGGTCTTGTTACAGCTATGTTCATGTACAAGAAAATATTAAAGTCCTGTCTCATCAGGTGCAAAGCTTTGGCCAGGATTAAAAGTTTTGTAAAAAGAAAGTCAAATGCCAAGGTCAAAGATCTTAGGCTATATACATTCCAGTGACTTGTTATAGTTTTGTCACGGGTATTGCACAGGTCAATTATGAAAACATATATCTCATTCCATACTAAGCTTAGGTCAGGGTTATTTTTTTTATAAGTATATCAAATTTCACTGACAAGGTCATAAGATAAAAAAAATAAATTCAGAAAGATTTTGTAATTCGTAATTCATATGTGGAATATGAGAGTCCGATCTTCTCAAAATTATTATATATTTTCTAGGTGAATATTTCTTGAAATTGATAAACTAAACAAAAAATTATGACCAATGTTCAAATTTTTGTGATGAACAAACACATAGACTGTCCCGGCGTATTTGCTTTAGCAATGGCGAATAATTGAATAAAATTCCATGAAAGATAAATTGATAATTATGATAAAACGTTTTATTTGAAGTAGTGATATGTATATCTTTCCAAATTAATTTTATTAGCAATACATATATTCAAAGAGTAAGGCGTAGATAGTGTATTAACCCCCCACCCCTCCATTTATTTTTGTAAACTTTAAAATATCATGCTGGCAATTTTTTTTATGCTTGCTAAAATAAAAACTGATATATGAATAATTTACGGTCTAAAATTATTTCATATAAACACACTGCCCACACGTTAGGTGCCTGCAAACATCTATGTGCATGCAACAGAGGCAATTGATGTTACTTTTTTGTATATATGAGGTAAAAAGGTTTTTTTTGTTATATATACCTCCTGCATTTACAAGTGAGGTTTGAAATATTAAAATTTTATTTTAAGAAAATGCTCCGAATATTCGACTATCGTTCGAATAATGTTATCGAATAGTCGACTAAGGAAGATAAATATTTTGACATCCCTAAAAATACACAGTAACAAGATTTCGAATATGAACTTTTCGCATAATTAAATATGAATCACAGGGATTTTTTAAATATAATTATGAAGTATACACAATTTCAAAAATAAATCACAAGATAATCGAATATGAATTACAAAATTGAGTGTGTTTGTTTCTTATCTGACTATATCTTTGCGATTTCAAATAATTCTCCCATGTATCGTACATTTTTGGGCAATTTCATGATTTTAATCATGTGCGGGCAAACACAATCTGTGATTAATGTGTTAACTGTTGATTCTACTTGTTTTATAAACAAAATATTTCATAGAATTTTCCTACTAGATTTAAAATTTGCAACCAGTTTAAGTGTTCTCAATTCTTTAATTTATTTGATAAGATAAATTAATCGAACGCTTTATTCGCATTTTTATGCCCCCGTATCGAAGATTCGGGGGTATGTAGTTTTGCCCTGTCCGTCCGTCTGTCTGTTTGTCCGAAAAAACTTTAACCTTGCCCATAACTTTTGATTGGTTGGAGCTATGACTTTCATATTTTACATGTGTATTCCTTGTGACAAGACCTTTCTCTGACTACCACCATATTTGACCTTGACCTTGGAGTTTGACCCAGTTTTGCAAAATTTTATCAAACTTTGACCTTGGTCATAACTTTTGAAAGGTCGGTGCTTTGGCTTTCATATTTCACAGGTGTATTTCTTGGAAGAAGGCCTTTCCTTGGGCACCATTAATTTTGACCATTTGACCTTGACCTTGATTTTTGACATACTTTTGAAAAAAAAAAAAACCTTATCCATATCTATTCAATCGTTGCTACCGGGGCTTTCATATTTCACAGGTTTATTCCTCGGGACAAGACCTTACTTTGGGTACCAACATATTTGATTTGCGTTTGAGAAAGTTTAACCTTTGCTATAAGTTGCCATACGGGGGCATCAGTGTTTCACAAACACATCTTGTTGTCCGTAACGGTGATTTTTGTACATCAGTATTGGGGGAATTAAAATTCATACTTTAACATAAACTCAGTAGGAAGGAAAATATTTATACAACAAATCAAATAATTTGCAATTATAAAATGTTAACTTGTTTTATAAAAGATAAAAAAATGTAATAACAAATTGTTAATCTGAAATTATAATTTGATGAATTGTAAATATAAATGAAATAAATAAAATCTGTAGTGTTTAGGTGCCTTGAAAATCTATAGTGAGGTCGTTATTATTGGTCGACCTTTCCCTACACCTTGATCTACATGTTTAGGCCTTGAAATAAATTCCAAGCAACACATTCCAGACAATTATTTAGCCATTCTTCTTTATTTATCATGATAGTTAGGCTGACAACACTTTGTTATAAATAGTGACTTTAACCCACTTCCC